TTTCATTGTTTTCCTTGATATTCTTGATCTTCTATTCTTCTAGATGAATTTCATTTTTTTTAGCTCCATAAAATAAATCTTTTGGTAGTTTTATCAGCATGGCACTGAATAAGTACATTAACTAAAGAAGTATTGCCATTTTTATTACATTGGCTTGATCTACCCATAAGCAATTAATATTTCAATAGGAAGATTTTTGAAAAGAATGGAGTTAACTATGATAATTAAGAGGGAGAGGAAATAATGAAGGAAATTTCAACAGTACAAGACTCAACAACAATGGCAGCTCAGATTAAGCAGCAAAAACTGGCCCAGCAAAACTCTAAATCATACATGAGATGAACAACTTGGTATGCGGAATGAGATTGATACATGAATAACTGGAGGGATAAACTACATGGGAAAGTAATGCCCAAATGGAGTAGTCATATAGATATCCTGCTTGTCATTCTACTAATGAAAGCTTTGTAGTAAAGGCATATCCCATCACACTATTTAGGAAATAATGCATTTGGTATGATTGAAGAGATTGGCAGGGATACATGGCCACTTACACCAGGCAGAGGATTATCACAATCAAAAATGTTTTGCTGACATAATTTACATTTATATTGTGTATTTTCTCTGAAGATAATAAAATGCATTCAGAGGGATTGAGCTGCTGACTCTCAAACATCTCAATGAAGGATGAAGAGTGATGATAATACCTCCAGTTAGATGTTCAGACAGTGTCATCCTAGTGGTTAAGTAACTTGCCTAAGGTCCCAGAGCAAATAAGGGACACACTCAGGACTAGAATCCTCATCTCCTAGAGGACTAAGATTGAAGGCTTAAAGTTTAAAAAAAAAATCTGATCTGTGGCATTTAGACTTTGTGTACTCATGGCATTTTTAGGGAGCTTGTCATGACTGATTTTTCACAGTTCATTTTTTTCTAAATAACACATAATAAAACGAAGAAAGCACCATTGAAAACAATGTGTTCATTTCAATAGCTTTGACTTTATTGTAGACAGACCACTTTATATTGGTCGTTGGCTAACCATTTTGTGGCAGCATGGGGATGTAGCCACATGTATATGCTAAAGACTCCTTGAAATGTTCATACATTGCCAAGAACCAGAAACACAAGATAAAGTCATTAGAACTGTCATTCAGGCCCCAGGACAAATGCCACCCAGATGGAGAAGGATTTTACAACCACAAATGAGATAACGCGTGATAACCCCTTAGATATAGGCTCCCTAATTGCCCATCTCCCCCAAATAGGCAGCATTTACAGACAGAATGGCCCTAATTCCCCAACCCCAAATAACTAGGGTTTGAGGAGGTAAATGGAAATCCAAATTTAAGGGACCCTAGGCTTTCAGACCAATGACTATGCATTGAAAGTGGGAACCAATCTGTGATGTAACCCAAATGATTTCAAGGAGGCCCCAGAATAATTGCCCAGGATATAAAGACAGGTTGGGAGGACACATTTTTGTGTTTTTATATATTTCTGAGGCTCCTCTAATGGAGTGTAGAAAGTCTTCACTTCCCATCTCTCCTGGGCAAGAAATAGGTCATAAATGGAAAAAACAAAAAAACTCTGGAAATTTGTTTATGGTTCTAGTGTTTGTGGGTGTTGGTCTTATTATCTGCCCATTTGTCTGCAAGTTGCTTTCCCCTCCTATTTCTTGCTCCCAGTCATCACAATGCCTCTGCTGGCCAAGAAGGGACTCCCTCCTGAGCAGATGTCAGTGATACTTTCCCAAATGCTAGCAGGGGGCTAGAAGGGGTGGGCTGTAAAAAACCAATTTGGTCAAGGAACAAAAGGAATCCAGCACAACGGTGTCATCAACATTTGATTGGAACTGAAACAGACCTGGAGTGGAGAACTCTTGAGTCAGACTAAGAGTGAAACAAAAGAGAAAGATGTTCATCTTTTTAAAAAAAATCTTTCTACAATGAACCACCAAAGGGTATTGGTATCAGGATCATAGAAGTTGCTTGCTCTTTGTCCTTCATTTGAAGAGGACTTAGTGGGATAAGCTCTGATAGGATAAGGGAAAACCTCTACCATTTGCACCCTCTGGAAGCTCAATGATTATAGGCAAATCACTCAAACTCCTGGACTCTACTGTTAGTGCCTTTGTAAAGGGCTCCATTGATGCTGAGAGTTACTGAAGCTTCATTAAGCATCTGGAAGGCAGTTAGGGATCTAAGATGAAAAGTAGAATGGGAAGTTTCTTAGGGGAACTGACAAAAATAAGGTACCAAAAAAGCAACCATGTGACTGGATCATCAGGACTTAAAGGGTATATCATTGGAAGGTCACATTTAGAGCTTAAGAGATCACCTTGTCCGACCTCCTCATTTTACAGATGAGAAAATCAGGGCTCAAAAAGGTTAAATGATAACTCCATATGGTCACACAGGTTAAGTAGCAGGGCCAGAATTTGAACCTGGAATCTCAGATTTCAAATGCAGGTTGTAACATGCAAAAATGAAAACTCAACCTGAATACATCTGCATGAGACTAAATTGGTAACATTTCTGAGTTGGAATGTGCTTCTGTCCACGGTGATCCATATGTGTTTTGCAGGTTTCCAATAATGAGATCACTGTAAAGTGTGCACAGCGCTTGGCATGTAGTAAGTGCTCTAAAAGTGTTAGCTAGCATTATTATTATTATTTCTAATTATTATCTCATATAAAATATACTTGAGTGGACAAGGCATTTGCTTAGGGTTCTATACTTTGTAGACCTCTCAGCTCCCCTCATTTTCCAAATCCTGTGTTGGTGTTTTTTAAACAAGAACTAGAAGAGAAGGGTTGAACAAGTCTTTTGATTGAGCATATTAGCTGACATGATACGAGTCACAAATTCAGGTACCTGCAAATACTCATCCTTCCCTGTAGAGGCATAAAGGTAACCAACTTGGCCACGAGGGAGAGCTCGACATTCTTTCACTTCCCAAATCCCTAGGGGACTCTGAACATAGGAGGGTATACTAGTGAATCCGTAATCACCTTTAGTTTTTTGGGGGGGGGGAGGGGAGGCAATTGGTGTTAAATGACTTGCCCAGGGTCACACAGCTGGTGTCTGAAGCTAGATTTGAATTCAGGTCCTCCTGACTTCAGAGACAATACTCTATTTAGTTGTCTTTAAGCTTCGAGAGACCTACAGTCTTCCTTTTCTTCTTCTGTGGCCACCTTCATTTTTCTGAGCTCAGACTTGTGGCAGAAGGGACTGGATAGCACTTTTAATATCCTAAACTAGACTTCTCTCCTCAGATGTCACCATTCCCACTGCCGGCACTTAAGGCTATACCAAAAAATCCACTCATACTTCATTATGATTGAGAAGGTAACTGTTTTCGTGTCCTGGTTAGTGACCTACAGGGCCAGGAAGCTGCAAGGCTCCCTTCTGTAACGTTGCTCTCTCTGGTCTAGCACTTAGGCCTTGGGATAGGGTATTCCCATCAGTATTCTCCTCAGCTCTGACCCTTCTCCCCGCTGAGGGAGAAGAATCTCTCTTTCCGTTTGTTTGTTTTTGGCTAGGCAATAGGGTTAAGTGACTTGCCCAGGGTCACACAGCTAGTAAATGTTATGTGTCTGAGGTTGGATTTGAACTCAGGTCCTCCTGAATCCAGGGCCAGTGCTCTATCCACTGCACCACTTAGCTGCCCCACCTATTTTCATTTGTTTGTTTGTTTTTGAAGAATCTCTCTTTCCACATGAGAAGCATCAAATCCTAGAAACCAATGGGCTCCTAAAGATGTTGTCATGGAGTTCTGCTGTGGACACACTGCCTGCTTTTCTGTTTTCTTGTGGATGTTGCTCAAAAGACAGAAATGTACATATTAACCCGGCTGGTGGGGCCACACAAGTTTAAGGGAGGTAGCAGGAAGCAGTGAAAAGCCCTGGATGTAGCAGGGTTCAATTCCCAGCTGTGACCTTGGGCAGGTCACTTGATATCCAGGAGTGGGTTTTCTCATCCGTAAATGAAGGGGTTAGACAAAACGACCTCTAAGACCTCTTTAGGCTTAAAACCTGTGATCCTAGGCAGGGCTGTATCCAAAAACACAGCTTACTTGGCCCACGACAAGGATTAGTCATATATCTATTATGCTAATAAGAAAAAAAAGTACTCCTCAAGTGTGTAGAGATTGTTTTGATCTTTGTATTTGTAATTTAGTCAATTTTTTTCTTATTGATTGTGGATTGATACATTCAAACTGTGGGTGTTTGGAAGTCAAAATCTTTCAGTGTCAATTATTTTTTTTAAATTAAATTTTGTTAACAAAAATTGTACTTTCCATCCCTATTTCACCTCCTCCCCCTCCCACAAATGAAAAAGAAAAAGCCCTTGTAACACATATGTATAGTTAAGCAAAACAAATTCCCACCCTGGTAATGTCCTAAAACCACAGATGTGTCAGTCTGTACTGAGCCTGTCACCTCTGTCAGGAGGAGGGGAGCTCGATTCCTCATGAGTCTTCTGGAAATGGTGGTTGGTTCAGTGTCAGTGATTTCTCTTGTTGGATTGTCAGATCTTCACAAAAAGCTTCACATGCATATATTTTAAGACTTAAAGCAAACTAAAATCCATAAGACTGCAAATGAAATCAATTATATTGAAATAGTTACCCCTTGAATTTTTTTCTATGTTTTATGGACTTTAAGGTTAAGAATCCCTGCCCTAGAGGGTGACACACCCGAGCATTAGGTTGGGCCTTAACGATGTATAAAAGATAAGAACCATAATCTTAGATCTAGCTTAGTTGCTTATACTCAGTCATATCAGTGATTATACTTCCTGTAAAGGATGTCTGAGGGAAAAATGAGTCATTTTTCCACTGAACAATAACTAAAATAAGATTTATATTAAGTTATTCCCTATGGTTAAAATCAAACACTGGTTCTATATTTGAGTGTTTTGTAAATTTGATGTTATTTGATGTTTACAATACTCTTAAAACCATTATTTTAAAATAAGATTTACTTCATGCACAGTTCCTTATCATCCATATTTTACTTAAGAAATCATGTTAACAAAAAGTCAGTTGAATAAAAGTCTTTTAGAATAACACAACAGTTCTTGTTAGTTTAGTTCTTCAGTATGTTTCAATATGTTTTATTTTCATTAGACTCTTCCACAATTTCTTGGTAACAGAATTTAGGTTTGTTGGGATTATTTTTAAGCAACCAATCAGCCAACCAAATCTAAAGGAAAAAGAAAAAATTAATCTTCCTTCAATGGATACTATACAAATGAAAAGTTTGTCAACAACGAGAAATGGAAAAGTAAAAATTCTAATTAAAAAACACCAAGTGTCTCTCATATGGATGATTGTCAAATTATAGAAGCCTTGAAAACAAGATTAAAATTTACCTGCCTGGACATTCTTTACTTCCCAAATATCAAATGGTATTTGACCCTGCATTAGGAGGTGGTGGTGGTGTGAATATAAATTGATATTGCGTGGCATCTATATGAATCTTTGGGATTCTAAATAAATTATATAATCACTCTGAGGTAGATAGAGAAATTAGATGCCTCCCTGAAGAAATGAAGGATCATATGCAGACTGTAAGGTGTGTCTGAAGCCCCGACCAGCTCAGCATGGGGATCTGGAGGCAGGCACCCCTGCTGAACATCCCTTCAGACCTAGAGACCCAGACACTCTGTCAAGCACACGGTAAGGAATTTGAGTACTTAGGTGCAGGAGAGGCTAGCCTGTCATTTTGAGCCATGAAGCCCAGGTCTTGCACGATGTAGGTGGTAAAGGTGATTTTTCCATCAAGGGCTGAACCAGCCAATTATTTGACCTACTGGTCAAACAGTATATGTGTTAGGAAACTAGCCAGAAGAGAGACACAAGTTGAGGCTAAAGAGAGAGTAGCTTCTAGGGATGAAAGGGTTGAAGACTTCTAGATAAGGGTGAGGGGAAGCCATAAGGCCTGAAACCAAGGGAAGTTAGCTTTGGGACCCAGATAAGGAAGATATTTCTTACTGGGAGTTTGAGGAAAGGCCACAGAGGCTCAGGTATCAGCCAGGGGACTGAAGATGAAGTAGACCAAGGCTGGACTGAGGGATCATATAGAAAGACAGTCCCTGTGTAGGTCCTAGTCTCCACTCCCAAGCCAAGTTGAGGACTGAGAAGGACTCTTTACTGCTAAGAATGGTAGCTCTATGCAGTCACATACTGGGTCATCAAATAATAATAATAACAATAATAGCAGCTACCATTTATGTAGTGATTTCTTAATATGGTGTTTAAGGTTTGCAAATGTTTTACATGTTAGCTTCCTTTCATCCTCACAACTCTGTGAAGTAAGTGGAACTATGACTAGTGTTGATGTCAAGACCAAGACCAAGACCAGGGCCAAAGTTAAGAGGGAGGGCACGAAGGGGAGAGGTTAGCTGACTAGTAGCTGATGCTGAGGAACAGAACAATAAGAACATCTGCAAACTGTGAACGGCTAAACTTTTAATCTCATCCTATAACCTCCCTCCCCCTTTCCAGCCCACTGTATACATTTTACCATAGATTTCTTTTCAATCACCTGAGAAGTTTGATCACCCTGAGCAGGAAGGGGTGAGGATGGCACAGACCCTGTCATCTAGATCACTAGATGTGATGAAAGCTAGAAACCTGAAAAGGGGAGGGAAGAATTCCTAGAGAACTGATGCATAAACTTGCTGGTAACAAAGCAGTGGGTAGGAGAAGTGCCCATGAAGGGCTGTTAGAGGCTTGAATATTCTTTTGTAAAAGGGAGAAAGATAGCAGGGAGGTTAATGAACTAGAGCTGTCTTGAGCATAATTTCCCTTGGATCTGCCTAAGGCTCTTCAGAGTAGCTGAAAATGACTAAAAAAACAAAAAAACAAAAACCAAAGCATCCAGGATACCTGGCCTTAATGGATGCTTTTTAGCCCCAGTGGATAAACAGCCATCTTGTTCTACCATTCCCCCTCCCCACTCCTACCTAGCACCCTGCATCTAGCTGAAGGACATGGATGGCTTTGGGAAGAGTTTTTTTTTTTTTAATTTTAAAAATTAATAGAATTTACTTGACAGCCAGGAGCTCTACATAGAACTAAGATTCCCTTGCTCTTTCCTTCTGAAATAATTATACAAACATATATAACTGCTGTAGTAGAAAAAGCACTGAACCTGGAATGCAAGGCCCCAGCTTCCACTCTCCCTGCTCTGCCACCTAACCAGCTAGCTGTAGACCTCATAAAAAGTGATTTAATCTTGCTAAGCCTCATTTTTTTCATTTGTTTTAAAAAACGGGGATATTAGTACTTACTTACTTTACCGGGTTGCTATGAGGAAAAACACTTTATAAGCAGGAGCTATTTATACACAGAAATGCCATTCAATTAGAGATACTGTATCAAGAAAAGAATATTTTAAATGAGTTGAAAATGGAGTTGGGGAAATCAAACAGAAGGAAAAAACTGAAATACAAATAAGATTATAGAAATTTCATTTGCCAAAAAAGCTCAGTCCCTTCATTTTCAGTTCGGACTTTTTTTTTTTTTAAGGCTAGTAGGTAACATTATTTTAGTATGAAAGAGATGTTTCTTACAAAGGGATCTGCTGGTTTGTGCTTACAAAGCTCTGAGAGTCCAGCCAACAGAGTCGGATTGACATACAAGTTCAGGTAATCCTTAGCAGCTTCTCCAACAGGGATGGGTTCAATAACCACTAAAACAACAAGTACATTTAGAATTAGTATGAGATGATTGAACATGTATAACCTAGAACAAATTTTTTACCATCTCAGGGAGGAGGGAGATGAGGGAGGGAGAGAGAAAATTTAGAATTCAAAATTAAAAAAAAAATGAATGTTAAAAATTGCCTTTACATGTAAGTGGGGAAAAATTTTATTTAAAAAAAAAAAGAAATGAAACCCAAAATAAACCATGCTTTAAAAAATTAGTATGAGAGTATAAGAATAAGGAAATATTCAAATTTCTGCTTTGTCATATTACTTTTTTAAATTTAAAAATGTTTTGTTGATGCCTTTGGTTTTATATCACAGTTATTTCTGGAAATACTCTTCTATTCAAAACTGAACATTCCCTTGTAAAAGAGAAAGTTAAGCAAAAAAACACTCAATAACAGCAGCTACATCTGACTATATCTATATCTATATATACATGAACATATATACACATATATACCTATCTATATATATACATATATGAATATATATACACATAGATACATATATTCCCATATTATCAACACATACATTACATATAATGACACTGTGACCAATATTTCAATTCTTTTGCCTCTCCTAAGAGTGGGAGGTGCTGTTCAACTATCTGTTCTCTGGAACTGTAAGTGGTTTTTCAATTACTCACAGTTTGTGTTACCTTTCAGTGATCTTTTCATTTATACTATGGTAAGCATCATTTACAATGTTCCTTTATTTCCTTATTTTTAACAGAATATTCACAAGTTGGGATAAACTGTCTTTTCAGCTGTAGAGAAGAATGCAAAGCCCAAGTACACCCATCTCAAAACACAAAAGGACAACAGTACCTACTATACTTTGTGAACATTTTTATGTTTAATAGGCCTCTTGAGAGACAGAGCTTTACTAGGCTATAAATCTAGGTTAGGGAACCTACTACTGTCTCATTACTCCAGAAGACACATAATGTTTTGCATATAGTAGGTGCTCAGGAAACGTAAGCTGAATGTTGAACGAATAAATGGTCCTTCCTCTGAAAAAGTTCTAGGATTGAGTCTCAGAATCAATAAAGAAACGGAACTATAGGTAATCTGTATGAAGAGTGAAAGGAGAAAAGCAAAAGCCCCCGAATGGGGGAGGGAGTATAGTGAAAAAGAGTACGGAATTTGGAGTCACAAGAATTCAGTTTGAATCCCAGTTCTTCCACTTACTGCCGGTGTGATCACTAATCCCTTCTGAACCCCTAGTTTCCTCATCTATAAAATAAGGGGCTCATACTAGATACTTCTGAGGTCTCTTCCAGTGCTAAATCTACGATCTTATGAAGGAAAAGGGAACAAACAATTACTAAGCACCTATGATGTGCCAGGCACTGTGCTCAGCAATCATGTTATTATAGCATATTACTATATAAATATTATATTATTATAATTATTATAACATTTGATCCTTACAACAACTCTGAGAGGAAGGTGTTATTATTAACTATATTTTACAGTTGAGGCAACTAAGGCAGACAGAGGCGAAGTGACTTGCCCAGGGTAACACAGCTAGTAAGTGTCTGGGACTGGATTTGAGCTCAGATCTTCCTGACTCCAGGCTCAGCACTCTATCCATTATACCACCTATGACTATGTCTTTATTTCCTTGTGTTATTGACTAAAGTGCTCAGCAATGAATTTACCTGCTCAGGTCTCATATAACACCACCTCATTTTGTTATTTTCTAATGTATTTATCACATAATCTGCATACTATAATTATCTCTGCTAATGTCCTAGTATAATATCAGCTGCCTTTTGAGAGGCACTGTGTTGTATCTAAATTTTGTGTTAGAAGACAACTAAGTTTTGTCCTGTCCAGACCAAAAGGCTAGGAATGTGGGCCCCTAAGAGTGATGGGCAATGATGACTTTGTCTTTTCCCTATAGCTTTAGTTCTTGTTCAATTTCATTTGCATGCTGATGAGAGAGACATACAGCTGGGACTGGGAGGTGGGGGTACGTCATTGATTTTGGCTTTAGGTGCACAGAATTCCCATAGAGGTTGAGTAGGAGGTACACTGAATTTTTAACTCTTAAGTCAAAGTTGTCTGGGACCAAAGACTTCAAGCACTAGATAAGCAACCAAAGGATGCTCTCCTTAGAGAACAGCAAAGAGCAACCTGATGACATTGGAATCCCCATAATGTTGAATGGGTGCTCTCATGTAAACAGCTTCAGTCTTTGTGAATTATAGTTTTCAGAACAAGGTGATTAGTCCCAATGAATTCTCTACTTGGGCAGCTAGATGGCACAGTAGATAGAGAGCTGGGCCTGGAGTTAGGAAGACCAGAGATCAAATACGATCTTAGACATGTGCTCACTGTGTGACCCCGGGCAAGTCACTTCACCTTGGTTTGCTATATAAATGCTTATTGTCTTCCCTTTCCATCCCCCACTCCAAGTGTTATATTCAGGTTTGAGAACCACATTTCCAAAAGAATTTGACAAGCTGAAATGTGTACCAGGGACAGGTAACCAAGGTTGTAAGAGTGGACTCAAAACCATTAGATAGAGGAACCAACTGAAAAAAGGGAGACTATACAACTTAGAGAAGAAGAGGACGTGACAGCTGTCTTCAAATGTTAGAAGTGCCACTGCAGAAAAGAGATTTGTTTTTGCTTTGTTCCAGCCAGGCAGAATTAGAACTGCCAAGTAGAAGTTACACAGGCAGGAAGACCTTTCTAACCCTCGGAGCTGTCCAGAAGTGGAATGCAGCACCCCAGGGAGCAGGAAGCTCCCAGTTAGTGGAGGTCACACAGGGGAAGCTGGAAGACCACTTGGTCTGAGATGCTGGAGAAGGGCTTCAGTCTCAGGTAGAGTCTGAACTGGAAGATTACCTCCAAGGCCCCTACCAATGCTTTTATTCTGTAGTCTACCAAACAAATTATAGTCATTCGTTGCATAAGGTTGCCCCAATGTTATTTCAGAGGAGCATCAATATGTTATAGGAAGACTTCCTTTCCACTCTCCCACCCCAATATAACAACATATGACAAACAGCTGACTTAAAATGTTCCTAGGGAATCAAGTGGGCAGCTAGGTGGTGCAGTGAATAGAGTGCTGGGCCTGGAGTCTTCCCAAGTTCAAATCTGGACTCAGATACTTACTGGCTGTGTGACCCTGGACAAGTCACTTAATCTGTTTGCTTCACTTTCCTCATCTGTAAAATGAACTGGAGAAGGAAACAGCAAACCCCTCCAGTGTCTTTGCCAAGAAAACCCCAAATGGGGTCTCGGAAAGTTGGATACAACAAAAACATGGAACCAAATGCCCCCATGCAACCTTATTTCATGAACATCATGAATCTTGCCCTGTGATTAGTGCTCCCTCCTCTCCTCCAATTACTTTACATTACATATCTGTACACATGCCCCAGCAAAATATAAGCATCTTGAAGGCAGGAATGACTTTTTTTGTTCATGTTTTTATATCACTTAGTGGCTTGCACATAGTTTGCACATATTTGTTTGAGTTTTATCTATGGATATGGCTTCAGATCTGGTAGAATGCACTTCTTAGCAAATGGTCAGTAACTTCATTCAACAAACATTTATTAAGGTGCCTATGGTGTGCCAAGCAAGATACAAATGCAACATCCAATATGACCTCCTCACATGTACGATACCACAATTCTGAAACACATTTTGGATTACCACCCACCCAAAACCACAGCTCATGAACCCCCAACAATATGTTTACTTTTACCAGTCAGGAAACATATTAACTCAAAACTTATATAGTGCAACAAATAGTGATTTAAAAACAAAATAAAACACATCCATGTATAGATAAGAAACTCTCCTACAAGTTCCCATGTTATCAATACATACTACATTATATGTAACAGATATGTAACAGATATGAAGATATCTGTGTAGAGAATATATATGGCTACAAAGTGTGTGCTAGATACCTCGAGCTACACACCAGGAGCCCATGTGGCTAGGACACATATACAGAAGGCACACATGTGGCCCAGGCAACTCTGATCTCTAATGTCAGAGGAACCTAAGACCTGAAAATAGCTTCCAAATCCTCCAAATTTGTAAACCTTCTCTAAACTAACTCCATTTTCCTCCAAGGAAGAACACTGTCCTTCCAGAAGCAGCCCATTCCATTCTTGAAAATTATTCACTGTTATTAAGTTGTTCTTTCTATCAAGCCTAAATCTGCTCTCCCGCAACTTCCAACCATTACTCTTTGCTCTGTTCTCTACAGGCAACCAGAAAAGTTCAATCTCTTTTCCACTCAATTATCCTCCAAATACTTCAAGACAGACTTCACACGTCCTAGTCCCCACTTCAAGTCATCTCTTCTTCAAAAGAGAATAGCTGTTGATGAATGCCTAAATTTTACAGTAGAAAATGAAATGTGTTTTAGAAATTCTTTAACTTAATAATGAAATAATCACTAGTTTTATTTTTGTTACAGTTACTAATCGTCTTTTAATCTAAATTTTGTTATTAGTCTTATTCTATAAAGGAATCCTTTGGTAGTTTGGTCTGATACTGAATCTGTAAATTGGTTAAGATAGTATTGTCATTTTTGTTAACTAGCATGGCCCAATCATGAGCAATTAATATAATCATCTTTCACTTTGAAGATGACATCATCCCAATCTACTTTGCAGAGCTGGTGATGGTAATGAAGTCTAGAAGAAAGGCGAGCTGACCTAAATATCTACAAAGTGAAAGAGAACTATCAATGAAATCACATATAAGGTAGAAACCTTATGTGATTATAAAGATAAAAACCGGATATGTGCATTAAATTATACAAAAGTCCTTGTGTATTTCTTTAGAAACACTAGAAGTACTAGTATTCTACTTAGAACCCAGATAGTTTGAAACTTTCAAGTCAACTGCCTACATAAAAAGATAGACGACAACAAAATAGCAGGAGATTACTTGAAAGAAAAATCAAAAGAAGACACAAGGTATTAAAATTGGTCAATTCTTTAGTTCCATTTTCTTCTTCATAATGAAAATAACTCACAATTAGAAGGGAAATAAAAAACTAGTGTGAGATGCAACTGTAGGTCTTCATAAGAACTTTTCTTCAGAAAGAAGACTTAAAACAATTATCTCTGTTTGGCAATGAGAAAATGTGGTAATTACTCGTGTATTTACATTCCACCACTGGAAATTCCACCCTTTCAAATCCAAAAAATCCTTTAAAAGTCTAGCTTGTTTTTAGAAATCAGGGGAAAAAAAAGAATTATAGAAAGATTCACTTAAATTTACAACTCACATAACAACTCACCTTCAGGAAACATGAATCGAATTTCTCTTTCTGCTGAGGCAAAATTTTTACTTCCATGAAGTGCATTCCTTAGGTCATCTGTTCCATAGATTGCCCTTAGACTAAAGGAAGGTAGAATTGATGTCAACTCAACCTAACATCCTTCTCAGATCTTTTATATATGCATTCATCTTACAAATGAAGTCCAATTTACAAAGATATTGTCACTTCTCACTTATGGAGGCTTTAATTTATTTTGAACTTGGGTTCAAAGCTATCTAAAAAAGGGCCAAACAACACATTTAAATTTGTAGGAAGGACACTGGACAAAAAGGTGGGAAAGGGGGTGAATATTCTAGCAAGGAAAAAAATAAACAGAGAAATTTGAAAGATTAGTAAGGAAAACCTTGACTAGGAGGATCAAGAAACCAAATTTGGTAGCATTGACAATAGTCTGAAATACTAACATCCCAATTCTGTTAACATGCTCATTTCACTGGTAATGTTATACAGGTATGAGAACAAAATCAGACACTTCCTGGAGATAGTTCAAGACTTTTTCATGGTATCTGTTATTTGTGCGCACGCGCACGCACACACACATACACACACGCACTTAATAAAATTAAAAGAAAACAAGGAAATTTCCAAAAGAAAAGGAATATCTCATATTACAGGAATTAGACTCCAGCTACAGAGGCAAATTAAATTTTCTCCTGGGTTAATTACCTGTCTGGGTGTGTCTCCTTAGCTTTGAAGCTATTGAATGGTCCCATAAGATCCAACCAGTAAGAGATTGCATTATGTCTTGCTAATATCATGGCAACAAGTGGACCTGAACTCATGTAAGCGGTTAGATTAGGGAAAAACATTTTCCCATACTGTTCCACATAAAAGTTGCTACACTGTTCAGGGCTAAAACGTAATTTTCTTCTCTATAAAGGAAACAAACAGATATGCAAGAAAACCTGATTAATTCAGACATGAAATGCAGATAATCTGATCAGCTAGGATCTAATGAAAAAACAGTATGCCAAGAAAATTAGGACTGCATGCATAGTGGAAAGAGGGCTAGCCTCAGTCAGGAAGACCTAGGTTCAAGTACTACCTCTGACTACTACTAGCTGTGTGACTATGGGCAAGTCACTTAAAGTCAGTGCCCCTGGCCACTCTAAAATGTAGATGCAGGTGAGTAATCCTCCGTGTCAGTGGAGAGAGTTTCCAGTGTGGATGATATCAACAGATATGGGCCAATTTTCCCCCTCTTGCCTCTCTAAGCCTAAGACTATGAAGAGGGAATGCTTGATCTCAAGGGAACAAAAAACTTTCAATTAGGAGATCTGACACCTTATTTATATAATCCCAGATGGCTATGATCCTCTTCTGGCCTCAAGTTTTCCATCTTTAAGATGGGGCTGGACTGGATGGTTTCTAAGCTTTCTTTCTGCTCTGAAATGCTCTCCCACTAAGTAATTTGTATACAAAATGATATTATAATGTGCCAATTATAAATAAAAATGCCACCTCATATTCAGTTCAAGAAACATTTAAGTGCCTAGTGTTTAAGGCACTGTTGTTTATATAACTCACATAACATTATAGTTTTCAAAGTTCTTTTATACAATCATCTAAAATGACCTAGTAATAACTCAATGATATAGGCACATGTGCAGGAAGATTCATCTGTAAAGCAGACCTAAGATATCGACCAGACAGGACTTTAACAGTTTATAACAGTTAGATAACAATTCATAATTATTAAGCTGTTTATTTAACAGTATATAATGCAAAAGTAATAAACTGGATTTCTCATAAAACTTGGAATTCAGACCTTTCACAAATTCACACTGACCTTGTGATCTCCCCCCCCAGCGTTTGAATATACAATTATCCCTTCCACATCATGACTTTCCCCATCACGGTTTTGATATATCACAGGTCAGCATAAGAAATTAAATGGGAATTTTGGGGGAGATTTGCAGAAGCCATAGATGACATGTGAAGGCCAGTAGATGACACAGAAAAAGTTTAGAAACTCAGAAGTGAATAAAATATATGTACAGTATTACATAATATTAACCCAAATTTTACAATAAGGTACTGTAAACACCCCATAAAAGAAAAAGAAAAAATTCAGACTTCTACTTTGGTATGAAAGGAGGGCCAAAAACTTTTATGCAGATTTTCCAGATGTCAGGGGTGCCCTACCCCTAACCCCTGTGATGTGGAAGAAATAACTGTATTTCAGAAAGCAATCTCTATTAAGGGCTTAGATGTGAATGGTTTCTAAATAGGCTCAGAGAATGGGCTCTAAAGGTTCATGTTCTTTTAGTCCTGCCCCCTGGCTTGTTGATTAGTGTCTCTGAGAAAATCATTTCCTCTCAGGAGTCTCCATTTTATAATTATTATAGTCTCGCTAAGAGAGACACTATAAGGATTAAGTCCATTTAAAAAAATCATAGAAGCTTCCTGACTTGCTAAAGGACAATATAGAAACAATCACCTTCCCAATCTGAATGTCTCATGTTTTTCCCTAAATAGAGCTGCTCAAGTCTATGAGCTTCAGCTCCCCACATAATAGCAGCTAGCCGTTATATAGCGCTTTAAAGTTAAAGCACAGTGTTTTAAAACATTATTTGATTTTATCTTCACAACAGCTCTGAGAGAAAGGTGATATTATCTTAATTTTACAGATGAGAAAATGAAGGTAAACAGAGGTTTAAGTGAAGTGTATGAGGATGAATTTTGGACTAATGTCTTTCTGACTTCAGGTCCAGCAGTCTATCTACTGAGCCACCTAGTTGCCTCTCGTGCAAAACAAGGGACTGGAAGGAGATGAATGCCTGCCAGGTGCAAGGTACTGCTACGTACTCTTTCAGCTCTAAAATCTACAGTCTTAGGAGATATGTAGTATTGGGATGGGAGGGGCCCAATCACTGAATGAAGGATGGATTGGAGTAGGGGGTGATGAGGCAGACAGCCTAATCACAACTATTCCAATAGTCCAGGCAAGAGATAATTGGGCGCCTGTATTACAGAAAGGTGGTTATATTGAGTGGAGAGAAGTGGATACATATGTGAGAAATGTCACGAAAATAGAAACACATTGGATATGTGGGGGCAAATGCCAAGTGAGGAGTTGAGGATACCCAGATTGTAAGCTTAGGTGACAGGGAAGATGGTAGTAACTCAACTGTAACACAGAAGTTCAGAAGAAGGGACCATATTGGTGGAAAGATAATGAATTCTATTTTAGACATGCCAAGTTTGAGATGCTTATAGGGCATCCTGTTAAAAATATGCACAAGGCAGTAGGAACATGGACTAGAACTCAGGAGAGATGTGAATAACTACTCTTAATATGGGATCCATAGACCCTCCACCACGGCCAGATTTCAGGGGGGTCTGATAAATCAGATAGAAAAAATTACATTTTTTTTCATTAATCTTTTGTTTCCTTTGAATCCTATATATTTTATATCATGAATTTTAAAACATTCAAAGAAAAACAAAACAAAACAAAAAACCAACCTTGGAACAGCTAGGTGGATACAGCTCCAGTCTTGGAGTCAGGAGGACCTGAGTTCAAATCCGGCCTCAGACACTTGACATTTACTAGCTATGTGACTCTGGGCAAGTCATTTAACCCCGATTGCCACACCAAAACAAAACAAAAAAACATTTAAAGAAGGGGTCCATTGGGTTTAGACTGCTAAAGGTTTCCTTAACACATTAAAAGCTTAAGAACCCTGGTACAAAGGGAGAAGAGAAGAGGGCGTATGACAAAGGTTTGGGGGATATGCACAATTAGTGGGTATGACACAGGAGACAAAGAAGTAATGGTCAGACCAGTGAGGAGAAATGAGAGAGAATAGTGTCACAGAAACCTAGAGAAGAAAGTGTCACTTGATCCACAGTGTCAAAGGCTGTAGAGAGGTTAAAAAGAATGAGGCACAAGGGGGCAGCTAGGTGGCAAAGTGGATAGAGCACTGGCCTTGGACTCAGGAGGACTCGAGTTCAAATCCAGCCTCAGATACTTGACACTTACTAGCTGTGTGACCCTGGGCAAGTCACTTAACCCCATTGCCAAGCAAAAAAAACCAACAAAAACAAACAAACAAAAAAGAATGAGACATTAAATATGGCAATTAAGAGGTTACTGTTAGCTTTGGAGAGGGCAGTTTCAATTCAATTATAAGGTCAGAAGCCAGACTACAGAAGGTTTAGAATTAAGGGAAGAAAGAAGAAATGCAAGTACATAGTCCACCACAACACTCCTGGGTGAGGGATGCACCAGACTAAAATATACTGGGAAATATTTAACAAAATAAATAAAAATACAGTAAAACAGGCAATATTAATACGCATTTTTCTAAGTCACTATGTGGCCTGCAGGGTTCCTTGTGTATGGGTTAGTGGTTCCTGTTTCTATATGAGTTTGACACTATTGGTGTTGTGGGGCTGTCTCAAGGAGTTTATCTGAGAAAGGAAGGAAAGGTATAGGATGATAGCTGGTAGGAAGAAATGGATCAAATGGATTTTTGGTTTTCTTTTTTTATGGATTGGTCATATTTGTAAGTAGGAGTGAAAGAGCTAGTAGATAGGGAGAAACTGCGATTAGAAAAATTGGGGATGAAAGTAGGGGCAATCTGGTGGAGAATATAGAGCATTGCAATCAAGGGTATTTGTAGAAGAGTTTGTCTCAGTTTAGGAGAAGGGTCACCTAAGAGACAGGAATGAGGGAGCGGACGGCGAAGGAAGGCATCCACTCGATATGAATCAAGGAGGAGAGGACAAGTAGAAGTTCCCAGAAAATGCTGTCAAATGGAGGGGGGAATCCTTAGCTTTCAAGGAGGAGTGTGATAAGAGGCTTAAGAGGAGTTGAAAAGGTTAGAAATAGCTGTCATGAATGGGACAGTGAATTGATTAGGAAGGAGAAAAAGTATGGCCTTGCTGCTGAGAGGCCAATTGAGATTAATTTATAGTGGACCCATCTGGCAGTTTTGTAAATTTTCTCCAGCTTCATTCAGTAGCATGTGAATAGATGTGAAGGCACTGAAAGGATGGATATGCCAAGGTTTGGGTTTGGCCAGGCATAACTGGTGATAGGACCAAAGGACAAGTCAATCAGTAGATAGTATAGAGTTAATTTGGTTCAGCAATGGGTCCAAATAAGGATGGAAGAGAGTGTAGCCAATGAAAGGGGTGGCTATCAGGAAAAGAAAATGAGGAACAAAGATATCAGAAGATGGCAAGGATGAAGATCAGTGATGGGGTCCCTAAGGAATAAATACCAAAAGATAGAATAAAAGATTATGAATTTTGGAACAAATTATGTAGATGTTTTCCAATCTCCCTCAAGATAACACAAGAGGGAAAAGGCTTAAAAGCTCCATTATTCAAATTAGATATCTTTCAGTATTTGGCTATTCTTGTCCTAGAAGGATGAACATTGAAACATGTTACCAAAGGAAGCTTTCTTTCTGTGGAATTCCAATTTTTATGATTAAGTCAAACCTATCTTTCTGCAACAGGGATCTAGAATACCCAATTATATTCTATTTGATAAATAATCATTATCATCCAAGTCCTGCCACAAACAGAGAAAGAAGCTTTTGGCAAATCATTAAATCCCCATGCACTAACTCTACGATAGGAATACTATTCATTAACTTTTCATTAAGTATGAAATAAAACAGCCACTCAGAAAAGAATTGAAATATGTTCTTCATTTGCAAGGAAACATTGTGCCCCAGATTTACCTGAACAATGGTGAATCCAGATTTGAGGATGATACCTTCTATCTCCTCTTCTTTGTCCACAATATCTGGTTTGATAAGAGCCAGTGTTCTTTCTACGTAAATCTGAGGTGGGGGCATTAACAGATCCATCTAGGCTTTTCAGATAAACTTAGTTTCTTGATGAGTATGAACTGCAAAGAGACCCGGCCCACTTCCCCCACAAAATGCTGAGATGGCAGTTAAGGAGGATGGAGACTCCTCCGAGCTAGATAGCTGATAATTCGGTGGAAATTTAACAACTGCTGCGTATTTTCCCAACTACTTAGGTACCACCCCGAGAGTCGTAATCGGAACACCTCCAGTCAGTGGTCAGGTGCTCTACGATTTTCCAGGCGCTTTCCAGCCTCTGTCACAATCGCGCCGTCTCTCTCCCCAGGAGGTAGGCAGAGCAGGTTGCCCAGTTTTGCAGATGAGGTCACATAAGCCCATAGACGAGGTGACGGTGATCGTTACCGGTGACAACGTTGGAGCGGCTTCTGCAAGGCGCACGCAGGGCTTTCTGTGACCCTGCTAGGGTCTCGCTTCTGCTCGGCCGGACCTTCAAGCCCGGGCTGGGGCTGCACTCAAATCGGAGCCGCCAGCCCTGCAACCCGGCCCAGCACGGCCTCTCCAGTTGCTAAGAGACACCGAAGACACGCAGCGACGGCCACGCCCCAGCCCGGCCCCTCCCCCCACAAACAAGGCCTGGCCCGTGGTTACGACGATGCTCCACCCGTCCCCCTCCCTCCCTCCCTCCCTCCCCCATTAAAAGGCAATTCGAAGTTTGTTGAACAACGTTTATTCTTAGATCAGTCACACAAGAAGCCTGGTCAAAGTGGGTGGCCTCTGGGCGGAGACACAAGCCGCAGACCCACCCGCTCCTCCTGGGTCCCTGACTAAAAGCTGCCCAGGCTTCTTCTCTTGGGTGACTTAAGGCCTCTCACTCTTACGAACAAAGGATAACTCAAGAACTCGAACAATCTCTGAGATACGGTCCAGGGGTCAGGGCCGAGCGGAAGGCCCCTGACTCCAGAACAGCCTTGGCCCGGTCAGAGCCGAGGTCAGAGGTTAAAGACAGGCTTGCCGCCGGAGCCGCCCGGCTGGGAAGCCCAAGGGCTCTCGGTGGTCCCCTGGTTAATCAGTCCACATCACTCAAGTCTCTTCTTCTAACCAAATACTTAGCACCTGTGCCAGGCAAGAGGAGAAAAAGCTGTAAATCTCAAAAGCACTCGGATGTCTGCACTTGGTGAGAGCAGCTAGCTACATATCCTTTCCCCTTCTCCAGCTAACAACTTTTTATTAATTAAAAAAAAATTCAATGCAACTAAGGCATACAGTCTTCGCCTTTTTCTGACTGCTACACACCTTGGGAATGGGCAAAGATGGAATGATGTCAAATTTATATGAGCAAAAGCAGCTGCCTGAAAATATTCAATGGCTATAGCTTCTCGTTTAGAAGTTTGGCTGCAGTTTCTCCTCCCAGTGGCTGTTGACTTGTGGCTTGGGAAATTGCTCCAGGCAACCTGCGAGATCTCACCACAGAAATTCATCCTTTCAGGATTCCTTTCCTCTTCCCCCAGCTGTTGTGAGATCCCATCTCTGCTGCTTTCCCCTGACTACTTGTGGTATAGTGGAAAGAGCCCTGGATTTGGAGTCAGAGAACCTGGGTTAAAATCCCAGCTATGTTACCTTGGGCAAGTCACAACCTCCCTGGGCCTCAGTTTCCTCATCTGTAAAATGAGGGTGATGGATTAGATCAAGGGTTCTTAACCTGGCATCCATAAATTTGTTTTATTATTTTGATAACTATTTCAATGTCGCTTCCTCTGTAATTCTATGTATTTTATACATTAAAAAGAAAAAAACCATTATTCTGAGAAGGGGTTCATAGGCTTCCCCAAACTGCCAAAGGGGTCCATGATACAAAAAAGGTTAAAAACCCCTGGAGATGATCTCCAAGGTATCTTCCCAACCCTAAACATATGAGCCTATGACATTTCATTTCTCTAAACAGAGCTGCAACATATCCTCGTACCCCATAGCTTGCCTTCTGACACAGGTTTAAAAAATGGACTGATGAATCTGGTAACGGACAAATCCAAGAAGGCTAAGGGAAGCCCCAGGCAAGTCACTTTGAATCAAAACAGGAAGAAGATGGAACAAGTTAACTATAAATTCCTGTGCTCATCTATGCCAGCCTCCTCCAAGGAAACACTAACTGGGGCTTAGGATTTGCTGGGCTATAAACTTCACTGTGAACCTATGAGGGGCTCAGGACCATTACTGGTCATGGTCCCCAATCTCTAGGGGATAAGAGCACTCTCCTAGACCACCACTTATGTGAATGCTCTGCAAAGTGGCCTCCTTTTCCTACAAGTCCCTAAAATATAATACCTGGATCTGCTCTAGGACCTCTTTTTGCATCTCTATAGCCATGTGGTAGATATGGTGGTCAGAGTCATTGTACATTACAGCATTCTGGAACATCAACATCAAATCGCGTTCGAACTGGGCCATGCTGCGGATATGCCCCTTTGAGAGGTTCCTCTTCAGACTGGTTAAGTCCATGGGTCTGCAAGTGGCCAAGAGAGACCAGGAGGAATTACATGGTCACATGGAATCTAACCTGGTCTAATGAATTCTTCTAGATAACTGACCTCCCCCTGCAATATGAGCTAGTGCTCCCGATACCACATTGTGAAACTCAAATGGTTAGTAAAAAGTATGAGTGCTCAGTGTGCAGAGCACTGTAAACATCTTTGATTTATTTACTCCCTTTCCCTAGATAATTCAAATGCTATGAAGAATGATTTTTTCCTCAGGCGGAGAAAACCAAAGGAGGAGAAAGGACTCAAGTAGGAAAATAACCCAAATGGGTTTCTTAAATAGAAAATATTTTTTATGAAAATTGCTGCATTAGTACAAAATTCTACTTTCATTCATATGTGGCATATATTCGGGCTTTCTTGCTTAAAACACCAATATTAACATCCTAAGTTTCTTTTAGGCTTAACAGACAGCAATTATACCAAGTGAGCCTGAAAAACGTTAAGTGAAAAATGACCGATACTAACTGCTCACAATGACCATGCAGATTCTCCTTCTGAAAGTTTTAGTTCAAAAGGAAATGTTCAGAAATTACAAAGTACTAACCAAAGTCTTTTAGACTCAAGAGTACACACTGCTGCAAATGATCTATTTGTCTTTTCTCACCCTCCTTTTCTTCCCAAAGAGAAAGATGTTGACTTCTTCATAGCTTTATTAACATCTTATGCTGACAAACATTATTTTCCTCATTTCTAAGTGCAGCAAATATGAGGTCATTTAAAATACAGGGTAACAATAAAAAGAGAACAGGCACAAGGATATGAAGCAACCAACCTTTCCCTTCCCCTTTCTTCACTGACCTTTTCACCACATCCTTGTACCCCGGAGCTTGCCTATCTGACACAGGTTTCAGAAATGGACTGCTGAACCTGGTAAGGGACAAACCCAGAAAGGATAAGGGGAGCCCCAGCAGGTCACTTTGAATTAAAACAGGAAGAAGATGGAACAGGTTAACTACAAAGTCCTGTGCTGTTCTATGCCAGCCTCCTCCAAGGAAACACCATCTGGGAGTGCAAAAATCTGTAAACTCCCTCGGACATATAAACATATAGAACACTTCATGCTAATGCTACATTACCATGCCAGTTTGTAGCTGAGATACTTGTTTGCGACCCTGTCTGGTAGGGTCCTAGTAGAAAGGCATTTATTTTAAATATAAATTTGATCTCAGAGGTAACACAGTGTAATGAATAGAAAGCCAACCATGGGGTTAGAAGACCTAGGTTCAAGACCTACTTCTGACATACAGTGGCTAAATGACCATGCACAAAGGAATCTCTTAGTTTCCTAAGCACTGTTCTGCATTGATAGAGGGAGTTTCCTTTCAGAAATTCTTCATCCCAATGAAAGAACAGGTTCAGAAAACAAAATTCACAGTTTTATCTCTTAAAAGTCCCATATCTGAAGAAAAACTAGAAATTAAATTCAAATGACAGCAACTTTTTCTTCCAGAGACCTGCAAAAGCAGGTTTATAAAGGGAGTTGCTCGTGCTGACGGATGGAAAGGACTGAATACAGGACAAGCTTTTGTCTTATGTGGCTTACTTCCAATATATATTCATGTCTTCTACTATGCCTGACCTACCTATCTTATGACAACACAGCAACGGTAATATGCTTCAGTGGCAAACAGCCATCCTATCACCAGCTTCCTGTCAAACTTGAGACACTTACCTGTGATTGGCAATCATTTTCCAGACTGGAAGGAGGGTTTTCTTGAATAGCAGCTGTTCCTTGACAGGATCACCCTGGTTTGGATCAGTCCTATGGGAAGGGACATGGTCATTTCCCAAATGCTGTTCTACTTCTTTTAGGCAGACAATCAAGGTACCGCCTATGTTTAGGCCTTAACTTTTTATCAGATCTCACCAAAGGAAGGAACTTTACTCCTTGTGTCTATTCAACATTAAAGCACTGAAACACTACAGAATGAGAGATATTACGTGTTTCCAAAGTTTTCATAAATGAGACTCAAAACTAAGAACAAGCTCAGTCTTCATGGTAACTCAATGATGGGTTTCCTTCTTATTAAGGCTTTTCTGTGATCTTGCAGCACATCTATGATGAACTTTGCCTTCTTCACTCCTGCTAATCTGCTCTTCCGCAATTCTGACATAACATAGTTGGCCTATGAAGTTTATCCCCTGACCTCAGCCAGAATGGCACTCAAATGTTGAGATTCTCTTCTATATCTTCAGGAGAGAAGATATTTAGCCACTAATTCAATTTTTTAAAGAAGTTTCACCTTCAGGATATCCCCTTCTTGCCAAAAAAGAATAACCAAAACAGCTTAATTATATCTACTTCTGCCCCACACACATTTACAGGTTATTTTTGTTTTGTATTTAAACCCATGTAAATGAGATCTTATAAATTTAATGTAACGTATTAACCCTGTAAAAATTGAGAAAACTGAGTTTAATTTCTAGATTAGTATGGTTGTGAATTTCTGCCTAATTCTAATGTCTCACATAGTACAAGTGGAACATGTTTCTTCTAAAGCTGGCATCATAGGTAAAGTTTCCAAAATTTCAAAACACATACACAATTACAATTTGCTAGACATCATAAATAAAAAAGGCAAAAAGCCTTTTCAGGTTCTAAAATCATCTGAACAAAATTAAACACCTTTCATTTTCATCTCATTTTGCTTCCAAAAGAAATAAAACCCACAAAGAAGCTTAGCAAAAATCTTAAAACCAAATAAAAAAGCAAAACTAAAAAAAAAAAACCCTAAAAATGAAACAAACAAACAAACAAAAAAAAAAAAAAACGCCCAACAACCCAGCATTCTGTTACTGATGCAGCTCTTCCATACAGGAAAAACAGAGTTCTATGTAAAACAAGGTCATTAAAAAATAACTCTGGCATAGCATAGCTACTACCACATCTCATAAGCAAGTATAGGATGCTTTAGAGGTGGTAAGAGTGTGAACTTGGGCTCAGGCAGACTCCAAGATCTGACACTTCCTAGCCATGTAAATCTGGACAAGTTACAACTTCTCTAAAACTTCTTTACCTCATCTGTTAATAGGGATAGTAATAGCATATGCCCCATATATATATATATATATATATATATATATATATATATGGGGGGGAGAGGGGGAGAGGGAGAGAAAGAGGGAGGGAGAGAGAGAGAGAGTACATTTTATCAACTTTAAAGTCTATGTGTCAGCTATTATTGTTACTATTTTCTTAGTATAATATAGTACTGTCTTATATCTATGGTACTAGAGAATACAATTCAGAACGTAATTATTTGCTTCATTCTACTTTTCACGAGCAAGAAGGGCAGTATGACTGCTCTAACACAAAAATATATCTTCAAATGAAGTAATATTTGTAAAAAGTGCTTAGCACAGTGCCTGGTGTATAACATATCTATATAAATTTCTATATGCTTCTCTTCCCCCTTGGCTATGATTTTCTTTAACTATAATTTTAAATGTTTATTGCTCTGCTGGAATATTAGCTAAAAACAATTTTTTATTTTTTTGCTTTTCTGGTGAAGCAATTGGGGTTAAGTGACTTTCCCAGGGTCACACAGCTATTAAGCGTCATGTGTCTGAGGTCACATTTGAACTCAGGTCCTCCTGACTCCAAGGTCAGAGCTCTATCCACTGGGCCACCTAGCTGCCCCTAAAAACAATTTTTAAAACCATTTTCTCCCCCAATGAAGATCACAACCCTTCCGTGCTTTAGTAGATGGTCTTGACCAAGTTTGGTTCATGGCCAAACAAATTTATCACAGGATGGACCAACCTGGCAACTGACCTCTTGAAACAGACTAGTCCTTTAACAAAAGAGAGTCCATTACTGGGTCAATATTTGAAGCCCTTCCATCTCTGAAGGACCTGCCAGAGCCTGTGCTCCTGTGACATAGCCTTTGAGAACTCAGAGCCACTTCTACATCATGATGCTAATATTAGAGTAGGACTTTAGTGGAAGCTTGTTATTACATCCTATGAATAATAATCATCTATATTTCTTAAGACAGTTCTTAGGTCTCTCTATAGCTTTTTCTCCTCAAAGATAAAATACTTTAACTTCTATAGCTATTCCTTTAAGGTCCTAAAGTCTTACTGGACCTAAGTTCAGAAAGGTTTATCACCAGAATATTGATAACCACATAATCTTTTTTGCCAAGTGACTCACAACAACAATCTAAGAAAACACAGAGATAGTCTACCAGGGTCTGCATAATGATAATTCGGATATTCCTTAACCTTTTAATCATCTTTGTGATTTCCCTGAAACACAATTCCTTGCTTATTTCTGCTTCTACTTACTTTAGGTGTAGAAAGAGAAATTATGATAATATGAAAGATGTTCTCAAATTAGTAGAGCTCCCAGAACCCTGGCTTTCTACCACCAGGTGACAGTCCAAACCAAGGGGCCAAAATTGAGATGTAGTCAATAGTAAATAAAGATTTATTAAGTGCCTACTATATGCCAGGCACTGTGCTAAGTGCTAGGGATACAAATAAGAAAAAGAAAGCCAGTCCCTGCCCTCAAAGAGCTTACAATCTAATGAGGAAAGATGTTCTGGGAGACAAACATCCATTTCTAAAGAATGTTACCCTTCAGAGGTGTTTTTTGGTAAAAGAACAACCTGCAATCCCCACTTTTCAAATGTCTGCTTGTAATATAGTCTGGACTCAGTTACTCATATTTCTTGCATTTCCAATAAAAAGGAAATTTACTAAATTTAACCTACCTTTTGGTTTAGAGATGGAAAATTGCCAAGCAAATAGGCTGAAAAATCACCAAAATTTTACGTTCCAGAGTAATTTGTTGTTTGACATTTATCATATACCATCTTTGCACCTTTTTTGTTCATATACATAAGGAGTTATGGTAAAGTTTAAAAAAATAAACAAAAAACAGACAAAAAAACTCAGATCATTATGACATATCTGACAACTGTGGTTAAAGCTGTTACTCACATCTTGGAGGAAGAGGCATTGCTGAAAATTAAATCCACCAATGGAGCTTCCTTAATGTTGAGGCCATCATCACACTCACCCAAAGGCGGTCTGCTCTCTACCTCAGAGACACATCCTTCACCCTTTTCTTCTTTGGGTTCTTCCTTTGTGCCCCCCTGGGGAGGCCAGGAGACAAATCGAGCTTTAGAAAAAGCTTCATCATCAAAGCAACGTCTCTTCCTGGCTAAGGTGACTTAAAAACCTACTATTCTTAGGAAGCTAATTATATAAAGTACTGAATAAAAAGCAGTTAGGACTGGAAGAATTAGTGGAATATTTAGTAACTCTACAACAGAACTTTCTCTTTCTTCCTCCAGAACAAATAAGGAAACACTACACCCTTGACACCAGCAAGCCTTGCTATGAAAAGCTCTCAAGGATGGCTGGGATGCTATACTCTTCAATACCTATTGTCAGGGCAGTTTTCCTAGGTTAGACCAGAGCAGACAGTCAAGTTGGTTGGGCAATGAGAAACCTATCCTAGTTAAACAGCTGGTTTAGCTCTTCACTTACCTCTTCACTCTCTTGGGGTGGCCCCTGAACTTCACAAATATCTGAGGAAACTGGGGCCATCTCTGGCCTCTCATTTTTTCCCTCCAGCTCCTTCTGTGCTACTGAGCCGTTTCCCTTGGCTGGAAACTCCTCGATCTCCCTGCATGGCTCCCCTGCCTCTCCCTCAACATCTGGAGTTTCCCTTCCTTCTTGCTTCCTAGAGTCAGGCTGAGATCTGCAGCCCTCACTTGTTCCCCTGCTGCTGATGCACAGTGGTTCCATCAAGTAGGCTACCTGCAATAACAGTTTATTTCCATATTCATAAGGACACCAATGGGAATCATCAACTAGACCCACAATTGAGCTAGAGACCAGGTATGTTCCTGGTCATTCTTGAGATGGCTTTATCCCGACTGCCACACAAAACCCTTCTATCCACTACCACCCTCAAAGCCCAGTTCATTTCAAGGCACTTAGTTCTCACCCAGAGTTATGTTTCAGCTTGAAGTCACAGAATACCAAAACCATTATCCTCATTCATATTAGGTAACTGTTGACCTCCCCGATTTTACTGAAAGAATGAAATGCAGCAATACTATAGATGGGCCTGTGCTGCTTTTAAAAAAAAAAAAAGCTGCTCCTGTAATTTCCTAAACTCCCAGTATAGAAACTTTCTCCAGTGATAAAGAATGGCAACTCATCTGTAACAAAATCTTAAAGAGCTGCCTTGGTCACTGAGAGGTTAAGTGCCTTGCCCGTGGTTGCACAGCTAAGGTAGCTGACTGTGGAAGAGGCAGGATTAGCTGAGGTCTTCCTGATTCCCTAACTGGCCCTCTGTATCATACCACGCTTTGTCTCAATGCTGACAGGGCTTGATGAGCAATGATCATCTCGGCTCCCTCAAATTGGTGTTTTAGAACAACATGAGGGTAAAGTATAAAGGAAAAATTCTCTAAGAAGGTGAAAACTTGCCCTCATTCTGAACCTGACCACTCTGAGCAAACACGATTACCTCAGAGAGGAAATGAAGGAGGTTCTGGTGCTTGAATTGCTCTGTCTCTTGCTGGAATTCCTCACTGCCTCCATCCCCCGTAAGGGGGTCACTGGACTCTCTCCCTAAGTTGCTCTCCTCTAGCTCCTCTGCTCCTGGCTCTTCTGTTTCCCTCCAGCTGCCCACTTCAAGATCCAGACTGGAGTCCCATGAGCTGAAGAGGGACCTGTAGTCGTTGCTCAGCTCAGAGTCATTAGGATAATCTTGCTCAGAATCCAACCAAACCCAGTCATGCCCCATCTGCAAATACACAGAGAAAAGGATTAGATTTATTCAACATTCCAGAACTATCCCCAACATCCACCTCTCTTCCATAATTCAGAACAGGCAAGCGGACAAGAATTTCTCTATCAAATCTTTAAGAAGGGGAAAATTATCTAACTTCCCAAGTTAATTTTTGGTCTTTCTCCTAATTGCAGCTGAAGGGAAACAAAGAGTGAAGAGAATGTACTGCAATCGGCAAAACAAAACAGCTATTTCTCCCGATCCCAAAAGTTTTGTTTTCAACTTCCCCAGTGTTCAGTCCAAGGCAGAGAATAGACCTAATAATACAGGCATACTCCTGAAAAATACCCTTCTCCTGGAGAAGAGGCACATGTTACGAAATGCAGCAAGGTAAACCTGAGGAAATATGCCCTCTAACCATAGTCCTTAATTGCTATTTGGCTTCATCTTTGTCATTCCCATGACACTGTTGCAAGTTTGCCAAAGTTTTCCTAGCCAAATCTTGAAGTGATAAACCTCTACTGTTTCCAAGTCATAATGTCCAATTTTCCCAGTCCTCTGACTTTTCTTTCTGTCTTTCACTTATCTTCTTGCTCCCTAACAACGAGCATGAACCAGGGCTCAGCTCCTGGCCCTTTGCTCACCTTACACATATTTTGGTAGACTTCAATTTTCAACTATTGTAACCACTCTTAAATATGTATCATCTCCAGTTCAGACCACTCAACTTTCAGTTTCTTAGCTTTATCTGCCCAAAAGACCATATTCCTTGGTTGCCCTGACATCATAATCTCAACATTTTCAAAATTCAACTTACCAATTTAAAAAGAGGTTTCTCCTTTCCAACACCCCCATCAATATCAGTAGCAGTCTTTCAGGCTCCTGAGCTTACAACCTTTGAATATCCCTCCCCACATCCATCTGCTGGACTTGGAGTCAAAAGACCTCTGTATAAATTGCAGCTCTGCCAGTTACTACCTGTGTAACCTTGAGCAAGTCATTTTAAACCCGAGTCTTAGTACCTTCATCTTTAAAAAGAGATGACTGGAGGGGCAGCTAGGTGGCGAAGTTGGTAAAGCGCTGGCCCTGAAGTCAGGAGGACCCGAGTTCAAATGCGACCTCAGACCAAACACTTGGCCCTTACTAGCTGTGTGACCCTGGGCAAGTCACTTAACCCCAATTGCCTTTTAAAAGAAAAAAAAGATGATTGGACCAGATGACCTCTAAGGTCCTTTTGAGCTTTAGAATTATAATCTTATAAAGTCCTAATAATCTCACCCCATGATAACTTTTACATTCACTCTTTCTTCTCTGTTCAGGCCCTTCACTGATTCACATCTAGAGCAATGGAACACCCTGCTTACCCTAAGGTCCGTCGTGCATCACCCAACATTGTTCTAAAAACCTCCATTACTTTCCTAATCAAGAACCCACTAAGATTTCCTATCACTCGTTAGATCAAATCCAAACTCCTAACACTCCAATTCCTTCATCAACCAAACCCCAACCACCTCTGCTCCAACTCATCAGTCTATCACTCACCATAAAAGTTCTACTCCCTTCTGCCTCCATGCTCACGTAAAACACCCTTCAACCTCTCCATCAACCCACACAGCCAATAGGACCTTCAGTGCTCACTTCCACCACAAAGTTCTTTTCTGTACGTCTTTGACTTCGACATTCTATCACAGCACTTCATGTTCACAAACAACTTGAAAATGACTTCCATTTCTTCTGTCTACAACTTGACTAGAAAAGACTTTCATGCCACAGGGACTTTAGTATCCCCCTTAACACCAAGTAATAGCGCAGAAAGTTAAACTCAGTTAAGTGCTTCTATTTGTCAAGGCTAGAGCCTTTGCGATTTTTAACCACAGTTAACATTCGCTTACACTTTAACACACCTTCCTCCAAAGATCTCAAAATACTTTATAGATACCATTCTTTTAATTACCCATAATCTCTCTGTAATGAGTACAAGATTATCATGAAAATGACCCTTTCTTCATCTGTAAGCTAGGAATCAATGAAAGAAGCTAGAGTAAGGTTGGCCAAATCAAAAAATAAATTTAAAAGGCATTATTCACCCTTCACATAAAAATCTTGGAAATCCATTTCCAAAACAGACACAAAAATTCAGAGTAAGCTGAGGCTTCAATGCAAACAGGGAAAAGAATAGAAGGCAGTCTTCTCCTAGAAATGCTATCTGCAAAGGTGGCTGACATCACTGAAATGAAGGATAATCCTTCCTATATGTCTACGCATTGGCTAAACTCTACTCTGAGGAGAATTCCATCAAAAAAACTAAATGCTGGCCTCTACTCCACAATGCCACTAGCTAAACATATGGATTTAAATTGTGGGTAGTTACTTACCTTCTCTCATCACCCACCATGGGAACACACTTGATATCTTACAGACAATTTTCCCCTCTTGTAGTCTCAAGCCCAAAAAATGGTGAGACAATTGAATACACACAGAGGCTGGCTGACCTCATAAAGAAAGCCATCGAGACTGAAAATGAGCACACAAAATGGCAAGGTTTTCTTTCTTCTAGAGTTTATTGTATACATAGACACTTCACAGGTTTAAAAAAGTCTGTACACTTCACATGACAATACAAACTAGCCACAATTGCTAGCTACACATGGGGACATGAACATAGGTCATCACTTCTGCCCTAAAACGGGCAGTCCACTGAGGGCTCTGCCTCTCCGAGAGGTTTCCTTGGTCTGTGCAGTCGCCCAGACGCCTCTTGTTCCATCCTAGGAGCAAGGCCAACAAGCCCAAGCTCATCTTCTTTTCTCTTCTTTTCTCTCGGCTTCCACGCAGAAAGAAGGTGATCTAAAGTCTCACTTCTTCATCTTCAAGTCAGCTTCAATGGCACAGCGGCGCCCTCTTGTGCCCCCATCCTAAATGACAGGCAAACAAAGAAAGGAAGCGTCAGAGAGGAATCAATGGTTAAGGGAAGGTGGGACCCGGCACGCTTGGGAGTCAAGTTTCTCAGGAGACAAATCAGCAGAGGAATCCAAGGAAATGTGGTGCATTTCTGTCTTCCCACAAAGTGGCTGAAGAGCACCTGGTGGTATGTGAGAGGAGATGCAGGGGAGATACAGGATAGGGAATCCTGTTCAAACCCAAAACAGAGGCCTTTAGCATTCACCTTGGGGGTCCCCACAGAATGAATCTTAGTTACCCCACCCACAGTTCCCAGATCCCTGTGCAAAGGGACAGGAAGAGTCAAAAAAAAGATAGAAAGTCAGAAAGGGCAGTGAACAGCGAGATTCTTGGCTAACGTACCTGTCCAGCTGTTGGGGTCCCTACAAGAAAGGCCTTTCCTGCCGACTGACCCTGGCACTAGCTCCCTAGCACCTCCTGACAGCTGCTTTCCATGAGGGCAGGATAATCAGAAGGCTTCTTTCCATCTGCTGCTCTCTCCCTGCAGCCCAGCTCCTTCCTCTTGTGCAATATTTTGCTGTCTTCAATAGATAAAGGTTAGAAGACCAATCCTATAAACCAGCCTTGCAGCAGCCAGACACCTGTCTGGGTGATCCAGAGTCACTGATGATGGGCAGCAGGCCAGTAGGAAAGAATGGTGATTGTATTTAATTTGTTCTTTCGGTAGTACAGGCTGGGAAGCCTATGGGAGAAGATGAGCTAGTGAACATCTTTGGTGGGCCAGTAAATTTTTGTTACTAATTTGCCAAGTCTTTAAAAATTTGTCTGTTCCCAACTCAAGGACACAGGTTGCCTGTGAAGCAACAGGAAGAATAATAAAAATACCACCATCTTGCATTTGTATAGCACTTAACTCTTTCAAACCATTTTCACAACTACAGTTTAATTCTGTCCTCACAACATCCCTGTGAGGTAGGTAACACAGGTATCATTAGTTCTATTATGCAGAAGAAATGTATAAATGAGGCACAGATAAACTGACTTGCCCAAGGTCACAAAGAAAATTAGTGGACAAAGCTAGTATTAAGTGATCAGTTTTTCTAATTCTTAGTCTGGTGTTTATCACACCATGCTGCTTCTCTGACCCACAATGAACCAAGTGGAGAAAGAAAAGTCAAAACCACTTCTTGATTCCATAAAGCAAACTTAGGCTGGCCACTCCAGTGACTCCCTCATCCCTGCCCCACCCCCTTGTATTATCACTGCGCAAGACCCTCTGGTATACTTGGTCCTTTAACTTATTTTAGAGGAGGAAATGAGGACAGATGCTGAATATCTGCAAGGATAAGAAGCTGTTAGAAAGTCAGCCAACAACTGTTTTGATAACCTTTCATTTGCAAAGGGATAACTTATAGTTTGGTCCTATAAAAAAGATGGAGAGAAGGAAAGAAAAGAATACGCATTCTAGATCCTTCATAACACCACGCAAAGAACACATAACCCTAGCCCAGTGACTCCTTATCACATAAGCAGTACCCACCCAGCACACACACACACACACACACACACACACACACATACACACATGCATGCATAGAAGACAGGAATATAGTAGAGAAAAACACTTCTTACTCAGTGACCTGAATAAATATAAGTTCAAGACATTGCTAAGCTCTGCATGTCAGTTTTCCCTCTACCACCCTCCCCTACCAGGAGCTGAAAACATTTGTGGCATCAACATCCCTTGCAGCCATTCAATACTTACAAAGAGAGAGAGAAGGAAGGCAGGAGAGCCCATGGGGACACTGTCCTGTTAGAGGACAAACAAACACTGATCAGGTTCCACGGAAACTCTCAGCCACAAGCAACCCACACTTTAGGACAGGGCCTCGAGCACCATACACAAACAAACGTATATCCACACACACAAACACACACAGATATGGACATGGACACAAATTTTTAAAACTCAAGAACAAAAGGAAAGGACATTGTGAAATAGATCTAAAAGCAATCTGACCATTAAGCCTCTAGCATGGGAATTCACTGGCACCCAAACCCTAGCAAATGGAGTAGCTTTCCCCACCTTGAAAGTGCTGTCCCCAGCAAGATCACTCACTCAACTTACGGTTTCCCCCAAGTGACTGGATCTGTCTCTCTCAGTCACTCCCGGCTTCTTCAATGTTTGGTTTGGGAGAAAACATCCACCGTGCTACGGGGAGAACGTCAGGACTTCTGGGAGCGGCGTATCCAACACCCAGAGGTCTAACTATTGATAAAAGGTATAGCTTCCAAATTATAAGGCATCCAACTGACTATAAATATTGCTAAAGTCCTAAAGGTCTATGTGTATTTGTGGGTTGGGAGCAGCAGCTTTCTTAGATGTCTTTTGGTTTTCTACCACCAAGATCTCTGTAATACAGATTTATTCTAGGCACAGGTATAGCCTGGCTCCCTCACCTTCTCTGAAGCATCCTGTTTTCGGGTAGAATCCCTCCCTCGAAGGCTTTTGGCACTGATTCCAGACTCAGATGTCTGCATGATCAGCTGTGTGGCCAGGAATTGCTGTTGGGAGAAGACAAGAGTGTTGGAAGAGTTTAGTGTTGCCACTAAAAGACTGGCAATGGCAGCAAGGACAAGAATTTCAGTGGGCAAAGCACAAGATTATTAAATACGGATCGTCTCATACTCCATATCATTTAGTTAAGTAACAAGCTGGTAGAGTTAACAGCATAAGCTTTAGGAAAGACAGACACTAGTTGCATAAATGTAACATCCGAATTCTATAGCACTTCTACAAGTATGTGGGAGGTTTGGTTTGGGAGTTTGGCAATGAAGCAAAAGGACAGAGGTAGAGAAGATGTTAATTATTTGTAGAGCTTTTCTGCTGACTTTCAAAACTATAGGTGGAACATTCAAAAGTGGCCGAACAACCTTGTGTTTCCTAGCTGGGATCCCCAGGGCTACAAAATCACATTACTTCATGCCATGACTAATTTTATTTTCTGGTGATTTCTTTGAGGTAGGGAACTCCCTGGTAAGGAAACTCCCTCTACCAATGCAGATTGACAACTGTTCTGCATCTTATAGTCGTAGAAAACTGACTGGGGTGTCAAGAGGTGGAGAGACTTGTCAAGTGTCACCAAGCCAAAATGTGACAGAGCTGGGATAGGAAACCAACTTATCCTGACTCCAAGACTGGTCCTGTAGACACTGCACTAGATTTGTCAAATTCAGAGCCAGATTAAATTGTAATCAGGAAATGTTTAACAAAATAAACAAAAATACAATACAACATAATGTTCTTTTGTTTTTTAAAGTCACTATTTGGCTGGCAGAGATCCCTAAGCGTTTGCGTTTGACACCTATGCACTACACCATGGCTATGTCTCGACTTGTATGGCCCCTTTCACTCAGAGGCTAAGCAACAAGGATTCTGCCATTACCTGGATTTGTTCCAAAACATCCCTCTGCATCTCCACAGCCATGTGGTAGACATCATGGTCAGAGCTATTGTACATCACAGCATTCTGGAACATCAGCATGATGTCTCGCTGGAATTCAGCTGTTGTCCTTATTAGCCCGTTCTCAATGTTCTTCTTAATGGTTGACAAATCCATAGGCCTAGAAAGGGAGCACAGGGTAAACAATAATGAATAAGGTGCTGCTTCTGAATTTTTGGAAGACAGCAGCTCTATCTAGACTACACTCAGACCACAACTGTCATCACTCTAGCCCCCAACTCCAGAACGATCAGTATTAATTGACTATTAACCAAGAGGCAAATAAATGTTGTACAAAGAACTTTGGTGATGGAAAAGCTATGACACTACGCTCTGAAAAACCAGCAGCTGTATCATCCATATATTCTGCATACCAGTGCTTACCATACTGATGCTGCTGAAATTACCAGTTTCATTTAATTTTAGTCACACTCTCAATCACCACTCTAGTTGAAGCCCTCACTGCCATATGCCCAAACTACTGAAATAGCCTCCTAATAAATCATTTCCTCTCCATTTCTCATGGCTGGACTAATTTTTCTCAAGTTTCAATCACACTTGAGTATCTTCAGTGACTCTCTTTTGCCTACTAGTAAACAGAATTCCATCTTCTTCATCTCGCATTCAAGGTCCTCCACAATCTGGTACAACCCCTACCTTTCTACTTTCATTCCATATTATTCTCTACTCCATACTTTGCTTTCCATCCAAAAGGACTCCTTGCCTTTGAACATAGCTGGTGCTTTCCTGCCTCTACATCCTCACTCACACTCTTCTTTATGTTTGGAATGTCTTCCCTCTTTACTTGTTAAAATTCCTACCTATCATTTAAAGCTCATCTCAAATGCCACACGTTAATAAATTCTATAGAATGTTTTTATAAAACCAGCATTTGATACAGTGTGGGCACTTAACAAATGCTTATTATTGATCCCTGCACCTTTCCCCATCCCAGCTGATTTCCACCTTTTGCCCCCTGGAGTTCATTTTTTTTTCTACCTTTTTAATGCATTCATTATGTATTCTTTTAAGTTGCACAAAGGCAGGAACACTTTTTTCAACAATTTCTTTATAAGGAAGTATTGTAATAATTGTTTAAGTGAATGTAAAATTTGCTAGGTTTTCTCCAAGACGCATGTCTGCTCCAAGTGCCAGGAACATTGCTTACCTCTGTACAATGCTATGGTAGCCAGGTGCTATGTCATCTGTGACAGGTTGCAAGAAGACGTTGGCATACCTATCCAAAATAAAAGTCATTAAAAATTCATTTTACTAGTATAGATATGAGTAACATTTGTGGTTACACAGACTAATATTATTTGAACACTTTTTGCATGAGCAGAGAGAAGCCTGCTTCTAACCTGACAAAAATCTTACTTGCCTGTGATTAGCTGCAGCTCTCCATACTAGCATGATGGCTTTCTTCCATATCTTCTGGGCCTGAATTGCTTCCTGATCCTCACTGCAAACAGAACTGGAAAAAAAAAAAAGGAGTTGTAAGATGAAGGAGTCCTACATTAGGCACAGGTCCAATAGAATACACTTCCAGGGCCCTCAGTCAACTCTGAGACAAAAAAGGATGAGAAGGTGAAATAGAGAAAACGGCGAATTCCTATTTCTTACCCTCCCTACCCTGGGAACCCTAAGAGCATTCGATACTCACAACTGTGAAGATGCAGGGCTACTGGGGATGGAGTCTGCTAAAGTGTGAGACTGGAGAGTAGCATTGTGAATACTAAAGCCATCATCACTCTCGCTCACAGGAGGCTCATTATCCATTTCTGACAGATAACCCTCTCCCTGGTCTTCCTCCTTGGGTTCTTCTAGGCTGGCTGCTTCACTGGCCCCATCTTCATCTTCATCCTCACCTGGGGCATTCTGGGACATAAAAGAGTTACAATCAGCAAATTTCTGGTTTGGGAATCAAGTTAGATTAGTTATAAGGACAGCCTAACACTCACATTTATTGACTGTCTCTCATCCACCTGCACTACACATAGGTTCAAATATTACTTGTATTTACGTCAAGGAATTTTGGTTTTATAAAAGCTTAACACACCTGGGAACTTAAAATGTTAAGTTTCTAGTTAAGCCTAAACTTCTATCCTTGGCTTTCGAAGGCACAGAAATGAATGAATTTAATGTGGTGTGTCATTTTACAAGTCCAACTTTAACTACTTTCTGAAAACTGGAAAGCTGCAGTGACTGAGAGGCAGAAAAAAACTTAAGATTTTATTTTCTCTTCGGATAGACAATTTGTCTTTTTTGAAATGAAATCTCTTTTCTTGCCTACACAGATCTTTACTCTGGTACCACTCTCTGGTATTTCCAAGGCTTATCAAAAGCATTCTATCTGTAAAAAGCACTAAGATGAGCTTTAAGTTGCTCTGACATAAGAAATGAACACAGTTTATACTAGAGATTATCAATTTTGCTCAATCCCTAGAATCAACTGTTCCATTTACCCCCAAGCACTCTAGTCTCAGAAAAATTTGGGAGAAAAATGTTGAAATTTAGAGGCATTGCTACACAAAATTGAGTCACAAGACAGGAAGAAAGAAAATGCTAAATTACCTTTATCTGGCTTCCAAAAATAGTTCCTGATTCTTCTTTCATCGAATCTGCAGAGAAAAGAGATATCTTCAAGTGTTTCTCACAAATTTCTTCCTCTTCTGCTCTTCCCCTTCCATGCTGACCTGTGCTCCCCTGCTGCCTACCCATACTTCAAAATATGTCAAGAATAAGAATTGATTCCACTGAGTTGGTTGGCTGGAAAACATAACTTTCTTAATTTACCTGACAACTCAAACTTGTGTTGATTATCTGTCTCGGAAGGGTCTTCACTGGAATTCTGACCATGTGGGAGAGACATCACACTTTCAGGAGAAGCCTAAAGAGAAAAACACATAACATTCAGTTTCTGAAAATCTGACTGACAATGAGACCAAAAAGAGAAATGCCAAGTCCCATCTACGTACTCAACCACAGATCTAGCTTGTATAATAAGCAGGAGTAGAATAGAATTCTCCTTATCATGGTTTATGGGGTTCAGGTAGTACTCAACATAGCATTACTAAGAAAAACTCAAATCAGTGCTATGGCACTGGGAAAAAGAAAAGTGTGCCCTCTGTCACTTCTCTACCTTAATGTAACCTATTACCCACTCTTCTGATACCTCTATCTTTACTGTGGGATGTGCCGTCTCATCGACTTTCCCAATCAAAGTCTCCACTTCAGAAATCTCTGCTGCTGTTGCTGCGGCAGCAATGGCAGTGGTCGTGGCAGCAGGGGTGGCAGCAGCAGCAATAGCACCTCTGGGTTCTCTGGGTTCCTCTTCTACATCTTGACTTTTAAGCTCAGGTGGCTCTGCATTTGCTGTTATAACAGCTCCAGCTGATGCTTCAGGGCTGGGATGACTGGGCTCTGGCTCTGCCGGTTCAACCTTGATCTCAGCACTCGGTTCCACTATGTCCACCAGATCACGGATTCCCTTGGTCTCTGGTTCCTCAAAGTCAAGCCTCTCTTGCTTAACGGTCATATCTGCTGGGGGAGGAGGGATTGACTTCTCCTGCTCCGGCTGAAGAGAATGCTCCCAAGGGCCAGGCAGAGACTGGGGGTCATCATTTTCTTCACAGAATGACAGGGCAGCTTCCACAGCTGCCACATCCAGGACTTCTGGATGGTCATCCACCTGTTCCATAACAGACAGACTAATGAGGCCATCAAGTGAAGCCTCAACCCACCAATTTCATTAGGAGATGGCCTGAATCTTAAGTCTCAGACCATGGGGTCAGCACCTTTCCTTTGGGCCACAAAAGGAAGACAGGGACAGAAGCAGGAGAAATTTCTAGCAATTCTCATTCAGGGAGTGAGGAGAGGCTGGGGAGAGGAATCTTGCACAAGGCTTAGGGAAAACTCTTAGCCTCAGCTGGGCACTTACCTTGTCTTCAATGATGGCGATGATATCTCCCACAGTCTCAAAGTCCAGCTCTTCTCCTGTGTAAGATACAGCAATGTCCATCTTCTCTGCCAGGTCCAAATCTTCTTTCCCATCAATGCTGGGGACTTTTGATCCTCCAGAGGCCTCAGCTGCCCCAGATCGGAAACATTCCTCTTTGATAGAATTGATGATCATGGAAATTTCACTGCTGTCCATGGAAACAGTCACAGTGTGCTGATCACTCACAGCTTCCATAGGTACACGAGTGTCAGGCTGACTTACTAAATAACAAGAAGAATAAAACACCTCACGAACTTATTAGGTACAAACTGACCACCAAAGATACCATACCTGAGAGAGGTAAGTATTAAGTACCTATCCATTTAGACCAAGAATAAGAACTTTCATGACTGTTTATCCTTCCCCAATTTCGTCCAGGAGGCAAAGCAAGAACCTGGCCCCTAATAATATCCACCCACCTGCTTTTCCATGACACAAAAGCCACCCACCTTCCCTCACACATTTTTCTAAGAGCATCAGTCTGTGGATAAAGAAAATAAAGTTCTGAACTGGGGCTGATGTTCTTAGTCATACTTTTCCTCTCCGAAGCCCACAGGGGAATTTTGCAATCTTGGAGCAAGTGGTTTCTTGAATGTCTGGGTCAGGGACGCACCTGGAACTACACTTTCTGATGTGGCAGCAGCTGTAGCAGAGGATGGTGCTGGCAGGGCAGGCATCATGACAATGGTAGCCTGGGGTACAGACTCTACAGGGGGTGGTAGAAGTTTAGCTGGAGACTCACTGGCAACAGCAGAGAAGGAAGTGAGAGGTGTGGTGAACTGTGTAGGACCAGCTTCTAAAAGCCGGGAAAGAGTAGGAGCACCTAACAGACAAAGAGGTACACAAAACGGAATTGGCGGAAAAGCACATGAACAGAAAGCAACAGCTACTTTCTCTAAGACTCAATTAACAATCGTTCTCTAGAAATCAGAGGATGAAAGAAGTTTTTGTGTTGAATAGGCCCAACACATACATCACTAAGGAAACCTTTAGTCATTATCTACGACAGAAATGAGCCACCAGGATGCTCATCACATGGCATCTGATAGGTAAATGAACAAAAAAAAGTTTACACAAATAAAGTCCCCAATTCTGACAAAATCAACACAATCATCTTCTTTTTCCCAGCTACAGTGATAGGTCATAACTGCCCAAACACAACTTTACCTAAGCACTACAACTAATACCAGCTCTACCAACAACATGAACCCTTCATTCACTGTCCAGGTCACCCCACCCTCTCCCTTCCCATCTCTTCACACTAAAGTTTATCCAGTCTATGCTATTCATTTCTTCAGGGGTGTGGTGGAGTTGAGGGGTTTCGAATTCTGAAGCTTTATGAGGTTTGTGAACCAAACAGTATGAGGTAAGGCTGAAGCGTCAAAAAAACAAACCAACCCCAAACCACCACCCATCTTTGAATGATATTAGCTATATTTCAACAATCACTAAAACTGCACCAGTAACTGCACCAAGCTTAACAACCCTGAAAGAAACAAAAGGAAAGAGCAGCGAGACTTACCTGAGGCAGCAGGAGAGGCTGCAACAGTGCTGGGTGTTGACTGCATTTCCCCTCCATGCATCATTGGAAGGACCCCGCCTACCTCGAGGAGAACACCTGCACTGTTCAGGTGGCCAGAAGCCACAGTCATCTCACTCTCACTGACCTATCAGAGAAGAAGAGAGGTGAAGGTCATCTCTCTTCTACATTTGAGATTCTCCCAATCTACCCAAAGAAACTCCTGTAATGGATCAAACTTTATAAAAACTAAGCCTATACTCCATCTGATAGGAAAAAAATTCCAGACCCACAAACACACAGGTTCCCATTTGATAGAAAGAGGTTCTCTAGGGAAGAGATCTCAGAAAGTTGTGGTTCAGATGCCTCAGGACTCAAAGCACCCTGTAAAAGAGCTAGGAGACCACTCCCACTTTTGGACCTTTCTAAGGGGGAAAAAAAAACAAAAACCCAAACATTTTAAGCCCCAGACACTCCCTTCCAAGTACTGAATCATTATAGCTCTCAAACACCCACAGAAGTCTCCATACCAGTCTGGGGCTAGTAGGCAGGAGGCTGCCCTTCTTCAAGAGCTCTGACAGCAGAGGGGAGGGGGGTGGAGTTGCTTTCTGTCCAAGCATCTTTTTCTGGGGTGAGTCATCTGTGACTGGGGTCATGGGGGCTTCTAAGGGTGCAGAGCCTGGAGGAGGGGTGTCAGGAATCCCAGGAAACGAGGTAACTGGGGTACTCGGCAGTGTCCCAGGGGTTACCTAAGAGACAACAGAGAAGCTGTATCTGACTTCTCACACTCAAGGTTTCTACTAATCTGGAAGGGTTAGTCTCTCTTATCTGTATGGTACTCCTCACTTCCAACCCCTCCAATCTAAGTCCCAAGCAGAATGCCTAGAAACACTTTCTAAATAGCTCCTATTCACAAGACAACATAAAGAATTGTTTTGGCCACCCAAACCAACAATAAATTCCCTCCAATCCCCTCAGTAGAAACTGCTCACTCCCACTTTGCTAACAATGAATTAGATCAAGTGTGTCAAATTTCTCATCAATTTTTATTTCTGAATCTAGAAAGCAAAATACCTGGCTTCAATTCTCATATGCCTAGAGACCTTAGCAAACCCCTAACAATTAACATTTTATTATTCAGTTTTTCCACAAGTCAGTCATTATGCCCTCCTCCAGCACAATACATGGAACACAAAAAATTAGGACTTAAATTTTCACTGTTCAGTCATTTTTCAGTCACGATCCCTTTTTGGGATTTTCTTGGTAAAGATACTGAAGGGGTTTGTCATTTCCTTCTCCAGCTCATTTTACAGATGAGGAAACGGAGGCAAACAGGGTGTGACTTGCCCAGAGTCACATTAAGTGTCTGAGGCCAGATTTATACTCAGGAAGATGAGTCTTCCTGACTTTAGGCCTGGCACTCTATCCACTTAGCTGCCCCTCAATTTTTGTAACAGGAGAAAAATTTGGAAGAGGATTTAAATGATTTCCTTATTTCCCTGCCCTCTGCTGGCTTTAGTGACTTCACCAAAGATAAAAACATACTTACTCCAGGACTGGTTTCTTCAATAGCTGATGGAGCCAAGTCTCCCAGTGGATAGTCACCTCCTGGAGAAGTAGAGCCTGCAGGTGATCGGACCATCACACTTGGCAACCTCCGAGGAGGTGTTTTCACTGCCTGTCGAGCTAGAATACACAAAAGAATAACACCTAAAGTCTCAAGACAGAATAAAGACACTAGTTTGTATATACTAAAAAGCCATGTTGTGGCATTAAAACAAACTTAGGGCAAGAAAACCAGTGTCCTTTGCTTTCTTTTACCTAATATGGAAAAGCATTTTCTTTCAATTTAATTTCTTCCTTAAGTTCAATTTCCTTATCAATTACCCAGCAAACTCATTTCATAATCCTAATGGTCCATGGTGTCAGACAGTGTTCATTATCATGTCACCTTTCTTCAGAGGCAGTTTATACTTAGAAAGATCTCTATGGTTCAGTGGTCACAATAAATTAATGACTAAGCTCCCTTGCTACCATGTGAATAAAGTTATTAAAAAAAAATATTTACTGCAAACTTAGTATTGAACATTAATAAAAAAGTTTAGTAGCCACATATATTTAAATTAGCTTCAAAGTATAAAAAATAAAATATTTTTCTGTCACTCCCTCTAAATAAGTCTCTGTCTCTTCTCACATTCACTCTTCTTATTTGGTCATAAGATACACTCTTTTCTTCTGGTTCTGTTTTTCTTGCTTTGCCTTATTCACATTATATAGAGACTATAACGGTGTAGTGATTTGAGAAGTCTAGAACGCAGAAGACTGGAGTTCAAAGACCAGCCTCTGACACCTACTAGCTCAAGGGATCCTCGGCTAATCGCTAAACCTCTATGCAACTCTCTAAGATTGTAAATAGCCAAGAAGGTGCCAACTCGAATTAGAAGGTGTTTGTTAAACCGATGAAATCAAAGGCCCAGTCCTTAGTCCTACACTATTTTACAAAAAGGTCTTTCCAGATATATTTGTATTATTCATGTTTGATCTTAATCATACCATGGCATTACATTACATTGATATACCTAAATTTATGTAACCATTTCCCTTTTGTTGAACATTTAGCTTATTCCCAGTCTTTTTTTATAATTACCAACTGTGCTGCTGTGAAAATCTTTTGAACAGGCAGTGTTTTTTGTTTAACTTTTTCAGGGTATGGTCCCAACAACAGAATTATTAGACCATGAGTATCATTTTTTTTTAAAACACAATCTTTAATTCATACCACCAGACTGTGCTCCAAAAAGATTCAAGCCTACAATTCCATCAGTAATGAAGAAGTATACCTGTTTCACAATTTGTCAGCAACGAATTACAGTTTGATTATTTTTGCCAAATTGATGTGAGATAATATTGCAGTTATTTTAATTTACATCTTTTTGATTAACAAATTTGAGCATTTTTTCAAGTAATTATTCATAAGCTATGTTTCCTCTTTTGAAAACTATTCAAACCTACACTGAATGAGCCTTAATTTAAGAAGTATTTAATTTCTAAAGCTTGATGTCCCAACAATCCTGTGCTGTCTTCTAATCACACCCAGCTAGGGTCAGATGAGGATCAAGCAGAGCTCAAAAGTCTCATTTTCCAAAAGATTATTTTGGCCTTCTAGCTGTATTTGTAGGCTTAGTTCAGTAAACATGAAAAAGGAGAGAAGAAAAATTGTGACGTGATTTGAAAGGCCAGTTATCTTTCTGTAACATAACCTACAATGCCATATTTTCTAACTCTGAAAAGAATACCTTGTGTCTCCGCTCACCCTGATATGCAGCATCTGTAGCCTTCCTCTTCACTTCAGCTTCTTCTTCCTCCAGTTTCTTTTTCCTGGGCAGAGGACATTAGGTGTTAGCTGCCAGTTAACTCTATTTCTCCAATTCCACAGTGGTCCCAGGAATACTCTTGCTAGGCTGAGCCAGGCCTCTTTTACAGAATCCCTCATCAGTGAAGCCAAAAAGGAATGCAATCAAGCTCATCTATGAGTTCTAGACTCAGGCAGAGTACCAACATTTTCCAATGAGAACCAATTCAATTGCACCAAAATTTATTAAGTGCCTATTCAGGTGTAAAATGCTAAATTTGGCATTGGGGATAAAAGCCAGGTTACTGTAACAATGTGGCAGTGTTTGTGGAAATCATCTTCTAGAACCAGCTCTACATAGGTCATTGTAGCTATGTAAGCTACCTGGCAGCTTTTCCCTTTAAGACTGTCTCTAGAGTCTAAAGGGATAGCAAGCAGAATATATGGAATAGATTTTTCTCTAGGGGAAAGAGAAAAGATCCACAGAGATGAGACCAATACTACCCACATTGCAATGTCATTGTACAGTTCATCGAGTCGGTTGTCCATATGTCCAGCTTGGATAAGCTCTGCATCTTTCTTCAGTTGTCTTCAGGGAGAGAAAAAAAGATTTTTTGGTTTCTATCCAATTTTCAACACCTACCTTCTACTCTGGCCCAGTACTAAAAGTCACTATTTCTTGACTGTGATTAATACCTGTATTTTTCCTGTGTCTCCTTAATTACTTTTTTCAGCTCCTCAACTCTTTCAGCAGTTAGTTTCCGAACAATAACATCTTCTACTGTTTCTACCACTTCCCCTTTTTCACCACGTTTCCTCCTGCAAAAGAACAATCCACATAACAGCAAAAGAATATACCTCCAAATTCAACTAACATCCCTATTTCCCCACCACTCAATCATAAGTACTTTCTACTCTAATTATACCTCCCATCAATATAAAACTAGACTTTCCTAATAACTTCCCTCTACCTCATAAATATGCCTAGAAACACTTGGCAAATCCCTTGGCTTGTCACTCACTTTGGGGTCTCAGTGGTCTCTAGAAGTTCCGAGTACTGGGAAGCACAATGCTATGGAAACAAAGAATCAAGAATCTAATGAAATCAAATGAAATAATAACCATAAAGTGCCTAGCATAGCACCTGGCACATAGTAAGCACTATATAAATGTTAGCTATTATTACTATTAATAAACGCTCAAGGAAAGATCTGATTTTCAATAACCCAGTGAACTGAGATCAAATTGTGGGAGGGGAAAGGAAGTAGCTTCTAAAAGACAATCTTTGTAACCAAGTCAGTCCATTAGCACCAGTTCCAAGCCTGGCCAAGAACAAGTGTGTCTTTGCAAAGACAACTGAAGAAAAAGTAGGGAGATGAAGTGGAACAGAAACACAGGACTATTATCGCAAGAACGATCGAATCCAATTAAACACACATACTGTGTGCTAAGAACTGAGGGCACAACAAAGTACAAAACACTCCTTGCCTTCAAGTAGCTTATATTCTACTAGGAAGACATAACCTACAGAAGGATAACTATATACATGGTAATTCTAGAAGAGGAGTACTAATGACTAAGAAAGGCAGGAAAGCTTTCTTAGAGCATTTTCATAATTATAAAACTAGTCTCTAAAATGGGGGCTATCCATCCCCGAACAGCCATGGTCTGATAGCAAGGACATGTAATCAACCAACTGGAGAATAAGAAGATGGGTTATATCCCAGGATCCCCACAAAAGCCAAGCATGTGCTTGTTACAATACAACTACAGGACCTTATTCTTATTGATCAGTACTGCCCTACTTCACCTGAGAGGAGGGAGTAGAGGGAAAGAGGAAGAGTTGTAGCCATAATCCTGATCCAAACATCTGCAGCAAACAGACACACAATTTCCTGCCTTATCTCTCCTCAGCATCCTCCACACCTAGACATCCCCTCCTCAGTGAAGTTCCCTCTTTCCACTTTTTATTTCCTGTGGGATAGTAGGAACAACGCAGGATAAGCAGGCATGGATAAGTTGTGATCTACATTACAGATTTCAGTACATCATCTTTCCCACCAAACCAGCCATGTACTGAAGTCAGCTTAAACTGGCTCTCAGAAGAGAGCTGTTAAAATTTTGAGCATGAACATTTCTATCTTTGAAATCAAACTCCACAAATCAGGGCTTGATTTATTGTCTGGTTGATTATCTCAACTTAAAGTAGAAGAAATATTAACAATGCAGATTAAAGCTTAAAAATGTATTATATGTACATCCTCCCACCCAAAGTGCCAACTGTTAAACATTTACCAGCAAACCACTACACCAAAACCACTCCTCTTCTGAAAGTCACTATTTCTTATTAAAGGAAACCACCATCTCTTTCAGTCATTTACGTTCAAAATCATGATGTCATCTTCTATTCCTCACTCTCCTTACGTCCTCCTTTCTACCTTCACAGAAACTCTCCAATCTGTCCCCTTTTCTCTACTCATACAGCTATCGTGGTAGTTCAGGGCCTCATCATCTATAACCTTCTAATGTGTCTGCCTGGTTCAACCCTGACCTTCCCACAGAGCTGCAAAAGTGATTTTCCTGAAGTGTAAGTCTAACTATATCACTCCTATATGCAAACTCCAGTGGCTTCTTATGAATACCAGGATCAAATATTATTTAACCTTTTTCACATCTTTTTAATGTTTATTTTTTGTCTAAGTTTTATGATTATCACTAATACAATACTGCACAAATATAATATGTAAGTAAATATACATAGTGGAGGCAAAACAGTGATGTATAATAAAAAGTTGGGAGACCAATGCCATAAAAGATAGGTCATGAACTGAGGCTTCAGGGAAGTTAGGGATTCTAAGAGGTAGAGATGAAAAGGGAATGGCCTGAATAAACAGTAAACATAAAAAAAAAAAAAAAATAAGCAGTATCCAATCTGTAAATTGCTTTAAATACCAAGCTTAATTTGTAAAGGAGCTAGGTGTCAAATTGGGTAGAGCACTGGGCCTGCAATTAGAAAGACCAGAGTTCAAATCTGGCCTCTAACACTAACTCTGGGCAAGTCATTTAACTTTTGTTTGCCCAAGTTTCCTCATCTATAAAATAAGGATAATTATACCACCCACATCCCAGGGTTGGTGTGATGAAGAAATAAGATACTAATTGTAAAGCACTTAACACAGTGCCTGGAACATGGTAAGTACTATATAAAAGTTAGTTATAATTATTATTATTTTATCCTAGAGTCAAAAGAGGGACACTGAAAGTTCTTGAAAAAGCAAGTAACATAATCAGATCTGTGCTTTAGAAAGATCAGTGACAACTTTGTGGAGGACGTATTGTCGAGGAGGCTGGAAACAATGCTAACTCGTTATTGTTCTAGTCCAAGTAAGTGATGAGGGCCAGACCTACTAGGATGGTTATAGTGTGAATAGTGAAGAGGATGGATTTGAGAGATGAAGACCTGGGTGAAGGAAAGGAAGAATCAAGAATGATTCAAGAACAATGAATACAAAAGCAACAACAGTTTAAAAAAAAAAAAAGGCAACTTCAAAATGACAATTAGAGTACTTATGACTGAATGAGCTGCCTGCCTCCTGACAAAGAGGTGAGGACTCAGGAGTGGAAACAAAGATCTATTTTTTTGGAGATGGACAATGGGGGAATTTGTTTTGCTTTGACGTTATTTGTTAAAATGACTGTCTTTCCTTCTTTTTCAATAGGAAATGACTGGTGGTGGTAAAGATTTTTGGCCAGTTAAAAAAATAAGTTTAATTAAAAAAAAAAAAAAAAAGAATCCAAGACTGAAAAACTGGGTAAATGGAAGGATAATGGTACCCTCAATACAAACAGGTAATTTGAAGGAGGGATAACAAGGAAATAAAAAGCAATTTTCACTGATCTCCTACAGTGAAAGTGCATAGCTTTAAATTCTCGCAACACGGCAAAGGTGTTCTGGTTAAATTAATAGGGCTGGGTGGGAAAGACTGCTAAAGAAGGACACTATCCCTGGAGCTTACTTTCTGAGAGAACCAGTCAGGAGGTCGGCCAGGTTCAGCAAAGGGCTTGATTGCTCTGCTAACTGACACCCTACAAAAAAAGAAAAAAATAAGGACCTTCAAAGCATCAGTCTCCCAACCACAACACACTATAAAACTCCATCATGAGAAGACAAAAGATATGTTGGGAATTTCAGGTCCATAGGTTGGGAGCCACACTTTTAAAACCAAAAGGATTATAGCTAGGAACAGTGAAGAAACAGACTCTGAATATGGAAGTGAATAAACATAAAAGTAATTTAGAATGAAAAGAATATTTCTAATTATAATTTCTAGGTGAGAAAGAGCAAGAATAAGTACCTAATGCTGTATCAATTTGGGGAATATGTCAGTATTTTCATTTTGCTATGGCTCAAATGCCTTAAAAATAAACAAGCATAGTGTCAGTTCAAACTACTTCACCAGATGTTTTGTGAAAAGTTGGGCTGGATTTTATACTACAGTAAAATTAAATATTTGGGTTTGTTGGGTTTAAAAAATTGACATAGTTTATTGTTTATTCTGGTCTTTGGTAATGGATCACTTGAGGGTTTACAAAGAAATTTCTTCACAATAACCCAGTGAGGCAAATAATAGAAGTATTATCATGCTCATTTTAAAGATGAGAAAACTAAAGCTCAGAGCGTGGGATTTGCCCAGGATTATACAACAGTGACGTAACTAGGATTCAGCTCTGATCTGAGAGGAAAACAAAACAAAACAAAACCAAAAACATCGTTCTTTCCATCACATTATACTCTCAAAATGATGCAAAACAACAATACCACTATCATATCTCCTACATGTAATAACTTACATTTATATAGTGCTTTTAGGTTTCCAAAGCAATTGCTTCCCAATACTCTTGTAACATAGTGGGTTACAAGTACTGTTATCCCATTCTGCAGATTTAAGAGTCATTACCAGGCTTTGCACATGAGGACCACCTTTTTGACGTAAAATAAATCCACCTCTTTGTGACAATTTTAACATTAACATCCAATGATTGAGGAATTACCTAATGACTAAAAAATACTAAGAAATCAATAACATTTTTAAAAATTTGCATTTTGTTAATCCCCAAAGCATCTGGATATATTTGAAACAACCCCTATTTACAACAATTATATAGGAGCTGTTGGAACTAAAGGTTATAAAGACAACGCTTTTCATACATATGGATTTAAAGACACCTTGGAATAATTTCATGCTGCTCACAAGTGTGGCACCACTAGATTAGGAAGTACCACAACAGTGGTATGTAACTAGGCCCAGGGTCACAAGGTTCAATATTAATTCAGGTAGGAAATCAGGTCCAGGTCTTTTGACTTTAAGGCCAGTAGTTTTTCCATTATATTATGAAGACAGGGATGGCTCCTGAATTGTTACTACTTACAAGGTAGAGAGTATGTAGAGTGTAACTGATATTATTCTCTACCACCACTGGACATACTTCTATCGATGCATGGGAAGCAGGACTACAGTGCTACAAATTCCAGCAACCATTCGGTCACTGCTAAAAAGAAGTTCTCAAGTTTTTCATTATAAGATTCCATCTAAGGGCCTAGGTGAACACCAGAAAACAAGTATAGAAAGTTTCCTGTAAAGAACAATATCTTCTATTTAGTGAATGACTAGGTTCTCATTTAAGCTAATGATATAACCCTCCAAAATTGGAATTAGATTGAGGGAAGAAAAAGTACTAAGAAGTGTGTGATAATAATTAACATAAAAATCAGAAGACTGGTCAAGGAGGTGCTCATCCTACTGTGAAAATCACAAAGATTTAGCTAAAAAAAATTTTTTGGGGGCTGGGCAATGGGGTTAAGTGACTTGCCCAGGGTCACACAGATAGTGTTATGTGTCTGAGGCTGGATTTGAACTCAAGAGTCCACCTGAATCCAGGGCTGGTGCTCTATCCACTGCACTACCTAACTGTCCCAGATTTAGATCTTAGGACTCGAGACCCCCCTCTTTTACTCTCCTGGAACTTCACAACAGTCTGAGATAAAAGGGTTTACATGAGCTCCCGGCTCCTATGAATCAACCAACCCCTAAGTATAGGAAAGTTACTCAGCAATTTCAATGTTCTAACCTACTGCTATCCTACATTTGATATCCTAAGTATCTTACCAGTTTTGATCTCCACTCCTCATGACAGAGGAGGCCAGACATAGCTTCTCCCGAATAGACCAAGGCTCTGTGGGGCCAGTACTCAGCAGTTTGTGTTCTGTAAAAAAAGAAAACTCAGTGAGAGCCCAATGAGAAGACACCACTCCCAAGCAAAGGTCTAACAGTATACCAACCAACTAAACTAAACCAGACTGGTCTCAACACAACTCTTTCCATCAAAGAATGGGAAGCAACCAATTTTGGACCAGTACCTGCTCTATGCCTCCAAATCTCAACAATCCACCTTGAGAACAAGGTAAAGAGGTAGTTGAGTAAGACCTTAGAAATCATCTAGTCCAAGGGTTCTTAATGTGTCATGGACCCCTTTGGGAGTCTGGTGAAACCTTTGGCTTCCCTTTTCAGAAGGTTTTTAAATGCATAAAATAACATAAAAAGGAAACCAATTATTTTGAAATATCTATTTTTTTCCATCCAAATTAAAAAACTTATTGAAATCTATTTAAGGACCTACCCATACGCTCCAAATTAAGATCCCCCGTATCTAGCCCAATTCCCTTATTTTACAGATACAGAAAAGGGAGGCAGCCCTTCTCACTCTAATAGCCAGTGATCTTTCACGTGTACCACAATGAATCTAATCCAACACCTCTTTTTCCTAACCAGTTTACAATTTAGGAAATTGATGCCTAAAGATCGAAAGCTATAGGTCTAAAAAATGACTGAGTAATCAATTTTGGGCTAGAACCCATGTCTCCTGACTCCTAACCCAGAATCTTTCCACTGCAGGGAAGGTTGTTGTTGTTTTTTAAAGGAAGAAAAAAAAAAGAGGAGGGGTGGGCCGCCTAACGTCTAAGGCCCCTCCCAGCTCTAAAAGCTCTGCGGCACTCGGGAGAGAAGGCTCGGCCCCCTGCGGACTCGAAGCAAGCACGCCAGGCTCCCGAGCTATACGTTTAGCGAGGAAATCCGAGCCGCTCCCAGGCCAGGCCGCAGCAGGCCTCGCCCCTCCCAAGCTGCGGGGAACGCAGCCCTCGGAGAGGGCGGCAGGGAGGGAGGAGCGAGGGCGGGCGGGAGCTTCCATCCTCGGGTCTCTCCGGCGCCTTGAGGCCTAGCAGCGCTGCCCCGCCCCGCCCCACCTCCTCGGATCTCCGCACTCGACACGGCCCCTCCACAACAACCCTTCCATAACAACCCCTCCTCGGCGGCCCCCTCGGAAAGCTCGAGTCTCGCCTAGCGCGCATCGCACAGGGCCCCCAGGCCGAGGGCTCCGCGAATCCCCAACCCTCGAGCTGGAAGCGGGAAGGGGGAGCGGGCGTGAGGGTTCTGTCACAACCGCCGCAGCGGCCCATCCCCGAGCAGCGCTGACACTCACTGCCCGTCCCTGTCGCCATCTTGGCCCCGACTCTTCCCAGCCTCAGGAAGGGGCAGGTCCTTATCGGGCCGCGCCCCGAGGGACTCTGGGAAATGGAGTGCGGTCCTTGAGTCGACACAACCAGATGGCTTCTGGGAAATGGAGTTTATTTGGGGTGGGTGGAGTAGCATGGGGGAGGAGCCTCTAGTTTTCGGCCAAGCTTCTGGATAAGAAAACGGTAGGGCGGGGGATGGTGGCCTCGGCTCAGCTTTCCCTTCACGTTTCATGGCGGGATAGGCTGTCGAGGGTTCTTAGGGATGGGCAGGAGCCCTGGGCCGGAGCCCGGAGCCCAAAGGCCCAAGACGCGACGGTTGGTAACCCGACCCGCCTTCTGAGCGCCATGATTGGCGGATGTGATCTCGCCGCCGGATTGGCTGAGACAGCAGAGCGCGTAGTTTGAAACCTTGCTTCAGAAACAAAGCTGCCCCTCGTGGGTGGAGCGGCCCTGGGCCGGGAGCTGCAGGACTACCTGGGGCTGGAGGACCGTAACGGCGTGTGGTGTCTTCTTCCCCCAAGGAGAGTAGAGACCTCGGACGCCAGGGGAATCCAGAGCGAGTTTCCCCCACTGGAGACAGAGCTTAAAGAGTCTTCGCGCCAACGGGTAAACGTTAGCACGCCCCGGGGCTTGATCCTTGGCAGGTGCCGCTCACCTGAGTGAACTCGAGCCCGCAGCCCTTCGGCATCGGCTTCCCTAACCGTCTGCCTGGGGTGAGGGACCGGACTGGGAGCCCCGCCTAGCCCTGGGACATCAGGGGAGTCTGTCTCCCCCGGCGGCTGGAGCAGGAGCTCACGCCTGGCTCGGTGGCACGAGGTGCTCTTCAACCCCTGTTCGGGTGCCGAGGCTTTGCCAGGGGTAACCTCGCTCCTGGGTCTGGGGAAGCGGAGAATTGAGGGAAGAAGGAGTAAACACCGCCAGGTGTAGAAGGCGCTCGTACCCCACCCCCATCCTACCCCCTCTATGCTTTCTACTTAGAGCGGCTTTTCCTCTTCCAGGAGGAACTGACTACCGTTGTCATGTCTCGGGGTATCCAGACCCCGCCTGTGGGCCTCCTCTCGGATGAGGAAATCGTCGTGTCGCCCATGTTCGAATCCACTGCTGCTGATTTGGGAGTTGGGATCCAAAAAGACCTATTGTCTGAATTTTCTGCCATCTCCCCTACCCCGATAGAGGACAAAGAGCAGGTAAAGTCCAGGGAGGTGACTCCCACCCATTCGTTCCCCTCCTACCCATTCACGCTCACACCCATACACAGAGATATGCATACCTCTCCACCCTCCTCTTGGTGCAAACGATGTGCCTGCTTTTACTGGACATTTGTGGGCAGATTGGGTCTTTAAAGGATATTGAGAGAGGAATAAAAAGCCAAGCAGCAAAATGGCATTTCTTCAGTCCCTTAGGATGAGCATAGCAGAGGGAGATCTAGACCATTTCCCTGGTGTGGCTTCTGAGTAATCTATTGTTTACCTGTGATCTAAGGCTCAGAGGTAGTTGTTTAATCTAATCAGTGGTGCTCTTGGCTGGGTTTCTGCCACAGGTTGTACCTGAGGATGGTACAGAGAAGGTAAAAGTATACTTGAGAGTCCGGCCCCTGCTGCCTGCAGAGGTAGAGAGACAAGAAGAACAGGTGAGTGCCTAGGGAAGCAAGTGGTATGATATGATATAAAAGGGTAATAAGGCTGTTTCCTTCTAACCTGTTTATGTATGTTCCATTTGCTAGGGCTGTGTTCGAATCGAGAACCCAGAAACCCTTGTTCTGCAGGCACCCAAGGATTCTTTTGCCATGAGGAGCAATGAGAGAGGTGTGGGCCAAGCCACTCATAGATTCACCTTTTCCCAGGTATCAAGCTGGAAGCCAGCCATCTTCAACAAGGCTGCCAGTGAGATGTATAACCAGTGGGAGAATGTTTTTTTCTGACATGTTTGCTGAGAGGAAGATCCACAAAGTTGTTGAGTCCACAGTGGTCTGGGGAGTAATAGAGGAGGAATAGGAGGAACCGAGCTATGAGGGGAGGAATTGGGCTGCTGGAGCTGACCAAGAGTTGAAATAAGCCTATGTTAAAAACAAGAGACTTCAGGGAACTGTATTCTTTCTAGATCTTTGGACCAGAAGTAGGACAGGCATCTTTCTTCAACCTGACAGTGAAAGAAATGGTCAAAGATGTGCTTAAAGGCTACAACTGGCTCATTTATACGTACGGAGTTACTAACTCTGGAAAGACCCATACTGTCCAGGGTGAGTGAAACTCTCAGCATCGTGAAATTCTGATGAGTTTTTAGAAGGATCTCTTAGCATTTCAAGTGCTAGCACTCAGCTCTCCATCTCTTTTATATTTCTAGGTAGCAACAAGGATGGGGGGATCCTACCTCGTTCTCTGGCTGTGATCTTCAATAGTATTCAGAACCAGCTTTATCCAGCCTCTGATCTGAAGCCTTCATTTGCTAACGAAGTGATCTGGCTAGATAGCAAGCAGGTGAGGCAGGAAGAGATGAAGAAGTCAGCCCTGCTGAATGGCAGCTCTCGGGAGGTGAGTGCCCATTTCCCAGAATCATATCAATGAAGGGCAGGAGTACTCCCAGAAAAGCTTTGTATTTATTTTCTCTTGGGGTTTCTCTAGGAGGAACTGATAAACTCTCTGAAGAAAAGCCACAACACTGAATCACTACGGCTGGGGACTAGTGCCAGTTTTGACAGTGGCATTGCTGGACTCTCTTCGACTAGCCAAAGCAGTGTCAGCCTCAGCCAAATGGAGGGTAATTTAAAAAAAAAGAAAACAAATCTTTTCAAAATGTGATATGATTTCAGTGGGCACAATCTGCTTTTTCTCCTTCCCGCTTCATCTCATCTGCACCCCTCACTGAAAAAGAAAAACCAAACCCTTGTAAAAAGTATGCATAGTAAGGCAAAACAAATTCCCAAATTGGCTGTGTGTGAAGGGCATGTTTTTAAACTTAACCCCTGCAAGTTCAGTTTCTTCTGCTAGAAATCCAGACACCCATTACTGCTCTTAGGATTGAATGCCCAGGATGGCTCTTTGCTACTGAGACGACAAACATGATAATCAGGGCTAGGCTTGTGGCTGACTATTTATTGTACCTTCCACAGACACATGTTGTAGATGGGCTGAACCAGATACTGCCTCATTCTGTGTCCCAGCTGATGTCCGGTTCTCTGTCTGGATCTCCTTCTTCGAGATCTACAATGAGATGATCTTTGACTTGTTGGAGCCCCCAAGCCAGCAGAGAAAGAGGCAGACACTCCGGCTATGTGAAGACCAAAATGGCAATCCCTATGTGAAAGGTAATACGGTTGGAGGTCAGGGAAAGTAACTAGAAAAGGGGAAGAAAAAGAAGGGGAGTAAGAATTAGATGTTTTTATCTTATTCCCTTCTCCCTGTCTTCCTCAGATCTGAATTGGATTAACATCCAGGATGCTGATGAGGCCTGGAAGCTCCTGAAACTAGGTCGTAAAAATCAGAGCTTTGCCAGTACTCACCTGAACCAGAACTCCAGTCGCAGGTGAGAAAGGGGTCCATCCATAGCCATTGCTGGAAAATGGTGAACTTTGGGCCCTGTGCTTATTCCTGCTTCTTCCTTGTGCCCTTTAGCCACAGCATTTTCTCCATCCGGATCTTGCACCTTCGGGGAGAAGGCAACGTGGTGTCTAAGATCAGCGAGTAAGTTTTATGTTGCGGGAATCTGGCTCCCTGGTCCCGGGCAGTTCTCTTTGAGTACTAGAATGGCCTAGGAGTTAGAAAGCTGGACATCCCAGGGAATTATTGAAGTATTAGAATAACATTCTCTGCCAAGAGATGCATGAGGGTGGGGATGGTAGGAGGGGATAAAGGTTCAAACTCAATTCTTCCCTCCAGGTTGTCGCTGTGTGATCTGGCTGGCTCAGAGCGCTGCAAGGAACAGAAGATGAGTGAGCGGATGAAGGAGGCAGGGAATATCAACACTTCCCTTCATACCCTGGGCCGTTGTATTACTGCCATACGTCAGAACCAGCAACGGTCAGTACCCACCCAACCTCAGGAAGGACAGCGGGGGTACTCTGAATTTTGTTTGTGGCCAGATGGAAAGGCCTGTCACTGGACACTGATCACTCTTGAGAGTAGTACTTTGAGATCTCATAATCGTCAGGGTCCTTCCCAAAACTCACGTGTCTCTTCTCCCTTGCCAGGCTCAAGCAAAACCTAATCCCTTTCCGTGACAGCAAGCTGACCCGAGTGTTTCAGGGCTTCTTCACAGGTCGTGGCCGCTCTTGCATGATTGTCAATGTGAATCCTTGTGCCTCTACCTATGATGAGACTCTTCATGTGGCCAAGTTCTCAGCCATTGCCAGTCAGGTGAGTCCTTGGAACTTACCAAGTAAAATGGTTTTGGGTTCATCCCCTTTTGAGATAAAGCCAAATGGGTAGGAACTAAGAGATTTCTCTTTCTCTCTAGCTTGTTCATGCTCCACCTGTGAAAATAGGGCTTCCATCCCTACATTCGTTCATTAAAGAGCACAGTCTACGAGCCTCCCCCGCTTTGGAAACAGGGGTTAAGCAGGAACCAGGGCCTGATGAAAACAGTGGTGATGAAGTTGACATCTCCGTGTATGACAAAGAGGTGAGGAAGCAAATGGACTGTTATTTCTGAGTAATTGATGCTGGGATTTGCATTCCATGAGTGAAATGGGATATTAAGATGGTAACTGCAATTTAGGACACAGGAATTATCTGGCCTCCCTGTCTCTCCTAGGAGCTACTACAAGTGGTGGAAGCCATGAAGGAGCTTCTGCTACAAGAGCGGCAGGAGAAGCTGAAATTGGAGGTGCAGCTTCGTGATGAAATTTGTACTGAGATGATAGAGCAGATGCAACAACGGGAGCAATGGTGCAGGTAGACAATGGCTGGCTTCCTGGATTTCCTAGGGAAGCAGGGCTTTGGGCATGGAATGAAATTCTGTCTCCGAGTCTGTTTTCTTCTGCATACCTGACTTAGCCCCAAAGAAAACCGTTGCT